TGCGATAGTCTACTCGCAGGATCCGGGATTTGCTAAAGCGGTCAGGAACACCTAAAGTCAAGAGCCAAAAAGTTTGAAAACAAAGCACATAGTGGGCTACGGAAATGATACTGACTCTATCAAATCATTCATAGCCGCCAGTCAGTAGACAAACAAACAGACAGGGAGATGTTTGCATTTACCATGGCTAGCGCTGTAGCCACAGAAGGCAAGTCACGGGAGGTAAGGTGTTTTTTCGAATAATCAAACCGCTGTTTATATATTCACAGTATATATTCGTTAACCAATCACTGATCGTATGATTTCGGTTTACAACAAACGACATGAAATATAATTTTCAAATACATATTGTGTTATGTTGCTAATGCCGAGTTGAACTATGGGAACACGTGAAAATAACATTCCGTTGGCATACGTTGTCTGTATAACACCACAGTGCAACTAGAGTTTTCCAACCACATCTCTATACACGAGAGGAAATTGTTGTCATTCTGAATATACTGTGGTAGTAAGTTTTACTTATTAACTGTTGATGCAATCATTATTGTTATTAATACTTTATTCTACCTCTCATTAATACAATTCCTGATTAATTTAGAAACTATCCTGCATTAGAAGCATTATCTTAACTCGTTTTACCACTATTATTATTGTTAGTATTCTTACTACTATTATTGTTATTTTTTACTCAGTTCGCAATTTTTAGAATAGTTAAGTTCTTTCTCCAATGACTAATTGTTTATTGAAGTAAAGATAATCAACTGTAATGAATTTTATTTTAAGTTTAATGCCCCCACTCCCTTCTCCTTATTCATTTGAACGTGACCTGAAAAGAAGTGACACGGGCAGCTTCGCATGATAAATTCAATGATTCCAATAGTATGTACATATATGTATAAAGCATACTTGTATCTACAGTATCTACAGCTGAGGAAGAATTCTACCGAAATTCGAGAAATTAATTAAATCCTGCTTAACTAAAAAAAGGCGCGCTTTTCGATTACTGCGCTACATTCACGTAGTTACATAAAACTCTCATTTCTGTGTAATTTCTTGCTAAGACGTTGCGGAAATCATTGTAATTATTTGCCTTTCAAACACCGAATCTGTGGATATTATCTTGTTGACCGATAATACCTATAACTATCTGCTTGTCATTTTGTGACTGTCTAACACTAACTAATACCTATAATTATACATTTTGATGGATCTATACACGTTCAAATTGGCTCAAGTCAGTGAGTCTATGATTTTGATATCATTTTTGTTAACTATATCTCACTGTAATACTACTGCTTAAGCTTTTTTTTATTATTGTTGTTGTTGCTGGTTGTCCTAGATGTTGCAAATTATTTTTTCTTTTGCTGGTGTTGTTCTGATCGTTTTATTCCTTGTTTTCCTGGTTTTAAGGGGAGCAACCCACAAGGTCTCTTCTCTGTAAACTATATTTTAATGTAACAACCCCCTTCTCAGGCGTGAGGCTAGCAACCCCAACCTGTAAACAAAGTTGCTACAGAAACATCAGCACGATGGATCTCCTTACGACAAAAGAAAAAGTATGTGTGGGGACATGGAACGTTTGCACCATGAACGAGATCTGCAAAGCTGCCCATATGACAAACGAGATGAAAAGATACGTAATCCAAATACTGGGAATATGTGAATGCAGATGGAACAGAAATGGCTCACCAAATTGTCAACGCGTGAGTCAGGGATCTACTTCAGTTACCGAGACGACAACCACACGCACACTCAAGGCGTGGCTATCATGACGTGAACAACGGCAACCAAGACCCTGATGCTATGCGGGGCGTTCTCACCCAGATTCAACTCCAAAAAGAAGAAAAAAGTCAGTTATACAATGCTATGCACCCACAAACCACTGCAGACCTCGAAAGGAAAGAAGAATTCTACAGACAACTAAAAGCAACGATGGACAATACTCCAGTTGGTGACATTAAAATACTAATAGGAGACATGAACGAAAAAATGAGACCAGACAACACAGGAAGGGAATTCATCATGAGTAAAGAAGCTCCCGGTCAAATGAATGAAAAGGGAGAATTCTTCACCGACTTCTGCGTCTTCAACGAACTAGTGATTGGTGGAAGCGTATACAAAAACAAAAATATTCACAAGGATACATGGGTGTAACCAGATGGGTGAACCAAAAACCTAACTGACTTCAACTCAATCTCAAGGAAGTGGAGGCGCGGCCTACTGGACACAAAAGTAAGAAGAGGAGCAGACGTTGGTTCAGACCACTATATCGTACAAGGGATAATCCAAATCAAATAAAAAGCTTTCAGGAAAACAGGAGCTACAGATAGACCACAAGCCAAGTTCAACACTCAAAAACTGAAGAACCAAGATATAAGGGATATCTTCATTGCAAGCATCAGGGACAAGCCAAGACACAAATCAACACCAGCGAAATGGTCGGCGTCGAAAAGCACTGGGTCAACCTGAAAGTGGTGTTGACTGGAACCTGCTTGGTAGTTCTGCAGAGAAAGAAGAGACAGGACAAACAGTGGCTCACTGAGGACAGTTGGAAACTAATAGAAAAGAGAAGGCTAGTGAAACAAAAGATTATCCAGTGTACCGACGAGCAACAAAAACAGAAGTTGAATGCAAGCTACAATACACTGAACAAAAGAGTAAAGAAGAGTGCCAGGGAAGACAAAAGAAAATACTATGAAGCCATGGCAAGTGAAGCAGAACAAGCTGCAGGCAAATGAGACCTTGCCACACTCTACCAAACAACTAGGCACCTATTGGGCAAAAGTTCAACACAGATTAAGCCAGTGAAAGTCAATCACCAAAGAAGTGGAGCAGAGGAAACACTGGGCTGAACACTTTAAGAGACTTCTAAATCGTCCGTCACCTACAACACGCCAAATAATACCTACAACAGAAGTACAACTACCAGTGAACATAGACCCCCCGACGAAATCAGAAGTCCTGAAGGCAATCAAAATGCTTAAATTTGGAAACGTAGCAGGACCAGGTGGAATCCCAGCAGAAGCATTGAAAATGGACCCAGAGACAACAGCGGACTTGATGACACCACTACTGGAGAAGGTGTGGAAAGAGGGCAAAGTACCAGAGGACTGGAAGAAAGTATACTTATTCAAACTACCAAAGAAAGGAGACTTAATTCAATGCAAGTACTGGCGCGGAATTATTCTCCTGTCCATCCCAAGCAAAATACTAAGCCACATCATCCTGGAGAGAATCAAACAAGGCCTGGATGAAAAACTTCAACCGGAATAAGCTGGATTCAGAAGGAAGAATTCATGTATTGATCAAATCGCCACATTACGGATCATCATTGAACAAAGCTTGGAATGGCAGTCACCTCTATATCTCATCTTCATCGGATTTGAATAGGCCTTCGACAGACAGCGTCGATCGAGAGTTGATTCGGCAACTACTTCGCCAATACGGGGTTCCAATCGACAAATATACATCTCATCCAACAGCTATACGACAATGCTGCATGTCAAGTAATCCACAACGGGAAACCTACGGAATCCTTCGAAAAGAAGACGAGAGTAAGACAAGACTGCCTACTATCACCAATAATTTTCCTGATTGCAGTAGATTGGATAATGCGACAGACAGCGGGCTGCGAGGAAAAAGGCATAAAATGGACTCACACAAAAAACTTGGAGGATCTGGATTTCATCGATGATATATGTCTGATTTCCCACAAACTGGAAGATATGCAAGTGAAAAGCAACAAGCTGGCAGAAGAAGCATCCAGAGGAGATACGACTTCAGGTGAACATAGATGAAACAGAGGTGATGAAAATTCCTGGCCAACAGCAACAACCACAGACCAAAAGCAGCATAAATGGAGGGAACCTGCAAGAAACAACCTCCAATACCTACCTGGGAAGCATCGTTTCAAATACAGGTGGACAGAACTGACGAGGATATCAAAGCAAGCTTTGGGAAAGCAAGACAAGCTTTCATTACTCTCAAGTCTGTTTGGAGGTCAACAGCACTCAGCATCAAAAATAAGATCCGGATTTTCAACTACAATGGGAAGTCCTTGCCACTTGCTATACGGATCATAGACCTAGTGTGTCATAAACAGCATCTCAAACAGACTTCAGACCTTCATTAACAGTTGCCTTCGCTCAATACTCATGATCAGATGGCCAGAAAAGATCAGCAACAGGAATCTCTGGCAATGAGCGAACCAACTAGAAACTGATTATGCAACAAATAGACAGGAAGAAATGGAGATGGATTGGTGGCCATACTCTGAGGAAACCATCAAGTGACATCACGAGACAAGCCATTGCTTGAGTGGAACCCGAAAGGGGAGCGGCGAGTTGGTCGTCAGTGTGAGAGTGACTTGGAGGAGGTCATGTGAAGAGAAGATGAAAGCATGTGGGTGACAGACTTGGAGCCAGGTGAAAACTCTAGCAGAGAATCGAGAGCAATGGAGACGCGCGGCTGTAGCCATATGCTCCTCTAGGAATTTAAGGAAATAATAATATAATAATAATAATTAAAAACTTTTCTCGGTTACGTAAAAATCGCATGATCGACTGAGGCGTTTCCTTTTAGCCGGCTTCATTCTCCGAACCATCTATCTATCCCTGATCTATCTATCTTTTTTTGTGCCCGCATACTTATACATGTGACATATTTTTCTGTCATCCCTGTCTATTTATCCGTTAGCCTTAGTGGTCTACGCATAAATGTCATTCTGACAACAATATTCTCGAAATGAATATTTTTTTTTCTCCTTTGACCATGTCGTCTTTCTTTCGCTGTCTTCCTATTTGTGTTCGGCTGAATTGGAATATAACTACTGATTATTATTATTATTACCGCTTATGCGATTGTGCTACAATCGATTTCATAAATCCCCCGAATAATCAGACACTGAAAGCAATTTATGATGACAAATCGGCAAATAGATTTCCACCACCCCCCCCTAGCTTATTTTCACTTTCTTTAACTAGAAGATAGAACAATCAAATGATGACGGTGATAACTTTATTAACAAAAATAAGCAAATGTGTATGGGATTATCGATTTGTACAAATGAAAGCAGAGTAATTACACCATACGGTTACAGAATCTTCATAAAATGTAAGATGACAATCACCAGAGAGATTGAGATGACTAGAACCAATGCGACAATACCTAGGAGAAACAGAGAAAAACAGTATTTACAAGTGGATTCTGTGAAAACTAGATGTACTGCGTCGGTGGCACAGTGGTTAGGACTCTCGACGACCATGCACATAGTCAGGGGTTCAAGCCCACGCCGACGCACACCTGATATTTATGGTCGGCCTGCGAATTTTGGGCTACCGATATCCACGCTGAAAATTCCACACATGTACCAAAAATACGGTGTGGAATCAAGCTGTAATCAAAAATAAAATATTAGCAGCGGTGAATTAGTCCAACTCGTAAGCAATCTACCCAATAATGTACGCACCTAATGCATGTGTGTTTACCTTCTATATTGGTGTGTTTGGTCTAGTGTTCAGGGTGGAGTAGATCGTTTATGTAGAGGGTTGTGAGCTGCAGGTTTTTTATGTGGAGATTGATGATACCACCCAGTCACACAGATGGGATAACCTGAGTGTGTAGGACTCGAACTCGGGATATATTTTCCATAATTCGAGTTCTCAGGCAGACGTCCTACTCTGCGACTTTTTCAATGACCTCCTTGTTACAGGTAAAGTATGTGAGCATCTAGTCGAACAATAGTCATTCTCAGTTTCTGGCTCGTATAAAGGCATCCCTTATTACGTAGGGATCGTGGCATAGTGTTTCGTAGTCACCCATACTCTTTAATAATGATCGTGTTATGCTGTTTCTTCACAATATTGTTTATTGTCGGAAGATCAAAACGAATGAGAAAGGATGCAATAAGGTCTCGACATAGTTCACATTAAATGACGTTGACAATCATGTCATAGTAATATATTTCTGATGGCACATTATCTCACTGATTGACTTAATCAATTCATTTGATGGTGCTTTCTACGCTGATGAATGTCTTAGAAATGAAAACTTTCATTCACTAGTGTACTGCATAAGGAAGCCTAACATTATTATCATAACGGATGAATATTTGTAATTACTGAACATCGATCCAATACCCACTGTTCAGCCCATCAACACTGGATATCTTTGTCTCACATGGGATCTTGCGTGATTGATAGTTCTGCTACAGTCTGAATAAACGTACAGCACTGATATCGCCCTGAGAGTCAAACTACGGTCGGATTGAGTTTGTCAAATGAATTCGGTTCTTTCTCGTGTTACTTTCAATCGCCTGGGCGCTCATCTTCTCTTAACAAATTCACATCAAACCTTCTTCAATCTAACACATATTTCCGGCTAGTACAGTTACTGTGTTTAACGGACAGTCGCAACAAAATCTCCCTTCAGCTGACCATATCTCTTGTATTCATATACTTGAATAATAACGTCAATGTATAAAGCATAAGTAAACCGGTGCGATATTTCTGTTTTGAGTTATGTGATGTTCTCCGTGTTACTCACAAATCGATTAGCACAGGTTCTCACTGTAAATACTTCAGCTTTCTCTGACTAAACACAGATGGGTGGATGCTTCCTGAAAGAGCACATCTGTCACAAGCCACCCTTCTCACACTGATCATATAAATCAGAAATCGAGTAAGTCATTCACAGTTTCTACTACTCGACTTGAAAACTGACTTCACTGAGACAACCATCTGAGGAATACCACACTAAACAAAAGTCACCGGCAAAGGAATAAATGTTGGAGTTAGCGAATATTAGGAAATGATCAGAGAATCACTTACTTATTATAATTATAATTCTGGACTGAGGTGACTTCAATTCTAAAAATATTACATTGAAAATATTGCGAAATGTAGGTTAAAGAAAGATGTAGCATACTGCAATGGGTGGAATTATGCATGTATGGTGGAAATAAGTTGAACAATACTGCCTCGCGGTGAGAATGATGTAGGAGAATAAGACTCTGTTTCTGTGAACAACGTTTAAGTCACTTTGCAAGTGGGATTGTATCTCACTGTCTAAGTGTCTGTCAATTTTCAAACACACAATCTTATTAATCTGAACATATAACCAACGATGTGTACACCACTTCTTCTGTGAACAATGGGGCTAATTCCATAGGCCATAGAATTTGGTAGATGAGTCTCTGACTTTGACACCGATAATACCATGTTACACTGCACCAAGAAGTAATCAGACAGCCTACGATGGCTGATTCATCAAATTATTCAGGAATAGTAACTTGTGTCAGTGAATCTTATTGAATATAAGCGTGAATGTCGACAGAAAATTGAGTCTGCAAATAACGGAACCCCGAAGAATACATGTAGGCAGAGAAGCTGGAAAAGTAATCGTGGAAGTGTGCAAGTCTCCATTGCAATATGAAGGAGTATTCCCCACAGATAATCACTAATTGTGAGATTATGAAACGAAAAATATTTAAGACTAAACTGTAGTGGACACTGAAGAAAGCGATAGAATCAAAACTATCGGAAGTAGGCTGCAAGGACAACAGACACTCGTAAGTGAAACGTAATTACACACAAAAGGAGGAAAGAGCGAAACAGAAAAAATATGAACTAGCTGGGTATTGTGAAGTACATGAAAACGCGAACCAGTCAGATTGTATGAAGGAAGAGCAAATGTGAACAACTTTAACCTAGAGATTCAGCTTACCAGTGAAACGATGAAAACAAGAGCTCAGTTGGATCGATATGAACAAGTTAATTGTGAACTCATAAACACCATGAAAAAGAAACTACCCTCAGAGGAAAACAAATGAAGCGTAATATTGACATAAAAACCAAGGAAAGATGAAATTATTGAACCCACCTAGGAGGCTAGAATCTGCCTGCATAGTTTCTGGCGTGGATATCCCCTCTGGAAAATAAACAAAATAAACAAAGAAAGCGGTGAAATTAAAAATCGGTTGTTCACTAATATGACGTGGCAACAAATAAAAGAAAGGAGAGCAACTCTGAAAATGGTTCGTAACAAAAAAGTAGAAGGAATAACCAAGAGTTGCTGAGATACTGGACGAATGCTACCAAGGAAGTGTAAGGCTGACACATACACGGAAATTCTAACCTAAATGGGTAGCCAGAAACAGGAGAGAAGTCATAGTATTTGTGATCCTGAGTCGGGGAATACGTCAAAATTCAGAAGACTAGATGGAGATTTGATGCATTCAGTGGCATGCTGATCGTGTGAGAGCATGATTGTATGACTAAGCAACGGGTTGTGGGAATACTCAATACAAATCCACATTGTTAAAATGGACAAAAATAAAACAAGAACCGCGCCAATACAGAAGGTGAAAAGATCATCAACTTAAAGATGACAAATATTCAACAAGAGCAATACAAGAAATCAAGATATTCACCTGTCGGAATGGAAGCCTCAGATCCATTTTCTTGAATGGTCAGATATCCTGAAAGAGACAGAGAAAGAGACCAGTTTGTCAGGATGAATCATCAGTTTGATTGAGATCAGAGTGATGTTAGTGTCTTCACACTGTCTCTCCATATCCACATTACATTCTGTCTTTCGGATATTCAGCTCATAACCGCCTTTCACCAATATGCAAATTTCTGCACACTCGACAGATATCTATCACCTGATGCAAATTTCAAAGTCTCACTCACCGACTGAATTACATACTGGGTGAAAAGTGAAACATTCGACAATCTGGGAAAGCTTGTTGACTGTGTTATAGCCCAGATTCGTCTGCGTGAAGACAATCCAGTGTGACTGATTTATGCTTCCTGGAAATTGGAATTGCTCAGGCAAACGGATATACTGTTGTATATTTTTGTGTGTATTGAATATTATCGGGATATTATAATCAATAATTTGACTTTTGATAAAGTAATGGAGTGGACTGTAGAAATGTCTTGGCCTAATCGATGGAAATGTGACGCAGTAATTGGCGTGTTAACTCTATCACATGAAAAGCAGACAGCAAGATAGACACATGGGCAGGCTACTAGCCACACTCACTTGTCCCCCCACGGGCTAATACGCTACTTACTGCAGACAACAAGAAACGCACACGGAGTCGAACAGTCAACATGTCACTGGGCTATCTGAATTTCCATCCAAGGCCATGCATCATATTTACTTCAGATCTCGTTGTTATAATCATTCAAGTATGTACGTTGTTCCTCAAATGTACTCATGCACACGTTTAACTGGTTAGCAGCCGACTGCTGCTTATTTCTGGGGGACCAAGAATGAATCACAAAAAGGGATTATTTTATTCTTCAGACGTAACATCACTACGTCACATGATTTTCCTGGAGTTGACTGTTTTACTTGAAACTCCTTGATGAAGAGAAAATTTTATGCAATAAACTAGGCTAAAAATTGTCCGTATTTTTTGACATTATTGAACATAATGAAGCTGTTGCTATAATGAAAACGCCATACTGACATCCTTCAGTCTGTTTCATCATCACAGGTTTGAGGACAGATTTAAACACTCACCTGTTAAACTGGAATCTTCATCTACATCTGGTTCTCTACCCTCATCCCTGAAAGAGAAACAGATATTGGATCATCAACATAAGTCAATAATATACTTTCGAGAATGGCGATCTCAATCACCTCAGTTATTCAGCGGTTGGAAGGCTGAAAGTAGTTCAAGTGTCCCCATTCATCACTTGCAACAACATACATATGATATGACGTGGACTCAAGTGTATACAACAAAATATTGAATTACACTCTAAATGACACGCTGATTGAGTTAATAACACTCTCAGGAAGAGTGCAGGTATTTCATGTTGACTGTGTAGTGTAGGCTGAATCGAAGATGTAAAGAGAGTTGCAACCAAGTGAGACGTTGACGTCCTGTAAATCTTAACGCATAGTCGGAGATTCGTTAAATATTACACAATCGCATGAAAGTCAATAGAGATAGGATATGTGCAACGCTTTGAATAATGACGAATACCACGAAAGGAAGGATGTGCTTGGATATGGAGATGAGAGAGGTAACTGATAAGAAAACATGTGATGTATTTGTGCAACATATTTTTGACATTTTGACCGCACACGAAATTGTCATACACAGTTTTATAGAAGGCATGCAACAATGGTGAGACTGTGTACAGATCAAAAAGCGAAATGATGAGTAGGCAGATGACTCTAAGAAAGAGTCTGTGGCAAGACGGTAGGATTCTTGCCAGCCACCTATCATGTTGTTGGCGATTCGATCACCGGCCAAAGCACTCCTTTACCTCGCTAAACCGGTAATAAGACTGGTAAATAGAAGAGGTCGGATATGAGGCTAGCAACCTCATTCTGCATAAATAAAACCGATGCTACTGAAACTTCAAGCCCCCAGTTTCAGGCCCTAGGAGCGTTACGGAATTAAAAAATTGACTCAAAGGCGTGGGTAAGAAAGAAAAAAACAAAGATGGGTTTGAAAATATTATGAAGTGAATTGAACCTTAGTTCTCAATTGAATTACAAAGGCAGGTTTAAAGTAATAACAAATAAACAATAAATTTTGAACACATAACACTGATTGGATTATTTCCGTAGCCAGGGCTTTGAAGAATTTAAGTATTTGACTCAACCTTGTTTTACATATCAGCTTAACGGTATTGTTGAAATCAACCTTATGACGCATCTCTATAATGTGCTTCTCTACAGATGATGATGGGCATCTATTTCTAAGATCATTTGTATCCATCGAATATAGTTGTTGTTTGAAATATGTTCTGTAATCCCAACCTGCAGAGACGGATGCGTCTTCTCTATGTACGTGAGTCCACACATACATGTAAATTGATGAACAAAATGGGCTTTGGCATTATTGTTCGGATACTGTGAAGGTTTGCAGGACAGCTTAGTTCATGTTTTCTCTATGTAGATACGTTTAGCTGCATAGTGAGTTCTCAACATCTGACCTGCATTGTAATCATTCATGCATTCTTGTCTGGCATATGACACTGTACAAAAAGTACGCGGAGGATTAGAAGGATCGAAATATCTTCTTTAAATATAATACACGATTCGGATAAATTGTCCAAAAAACATTTATCGAAATATAAATATAAATGCTTACCGAAATAAAAAGGGTCTGAACCGAACAACACAAAGAAGAGAGGAGACATGAAATGAAAAAATGGATTCCAGGTGAAGATGTGCGAGTGCGACTGTGTGCTAGTGTAGTTGGATTTGGACAGTCAAATTCGTGTGTGTTATTTGTGGTGATATTCATTGCGTGGATGATGTGTAATTGTAGATTGATTGGATGGAGATGTGAAGCAGTGAGTGATGTGTAGGCTGTGTGTCATTAGACGTCATGAGACGTGAAGTGTTCAGTCGATGGATTGGTCTTTCGCAATCATCACATTCAAAAACATTGCACGGTTGACACCTGGTCGCTAACACATAACTCCATAACAGAAAGTTGGACAGACAGAGAGGCGGTGAGATAGACAGACCAACAGAGACAATGGCGGTTAGAGAGAAAGGCACAATGATTGACCTCCTGTCAGAAAGCAAGCCAGCCACAATGAACACATAGACTGATAGACAACAGAAATTTGCACCACAAAAATATGTAGAGACACTCGCGCTCCTTTCGAACTGGAAGTCTCTCCTCCAACCGCTTCACTGCTTGTCACTTCTGAAAGGGAGAAACCAATCACCTCGTTGACAATCATCACTCAGTCACATATCCATTCCCAAGCGTCACACTATACTCCTCAAAATTCCTCACAGTCCTGTGATACTTACTTGTCCCCACGTCAATTCCACTGTCTCCACCATCGATCGATGAGCGAGTTGTTATTATGATTATTGATGTTGTTTATCCTTTGTGTTCCTAATGGAACATATGGCTTCAACTGCACGTCTCCACTTGCCACTTCTGTCTCCCTTCTGCTGTACTTTTCACCTGCATCCATGTTAGTCCATACTGTTTCAACTAACTCCTCTTCACACGATCTCATCCATGTCACCATTGCACTGACGACCCACTCGCCGCTTCCCTTTCGGCCTGGTTCCACTCGAGCAATGGCCTGACGCGAGCACGACGTCACCCCACAGCCTCCCCAGCGACAGTCCAATCCACCTCCGCTTTCTCCTGCATATTTGTTGGTTGGAGAGTGGTTCTTGTTTTGTTTGTTCCCATAGTTTCTAGTTGGTGATACTTTCCGACCATCTGATCCTCAATATAGAGCGAAGAGAGTTGTTGCTTTCATTATGGGTAAATTTTGTTTTGATAAAGTCTCACAGTGTTATACAGTAATGTTTAATGATGACGTTTCAAGCACAATTTATTGCTCATAATCATATCAAGGTAATCACACGACTTCCTAAATTCATTTATATAGTTCTATTGTTTTTCTCTTGATTTTCACTTGATTTGATTGGTAATAGTATTTTCCATATTTCGGGTATGAGTGATGAATCATTCTTGTTGCATGTGTTGGGTCTACACCCAACCAGATTCCAAGATTCCATATCTTCTTATTTCTGTGGCAACCTGTGCAGCATTTCCAGCTTCGTAGATTGTACGAAGTTTTGCCTTCCTAATTTTTGATCTCATTGATTGATCGCTTTCTTGGTTACCTCAAGTTGATTAACTTATTTTATAAACGTCCATAGTATTTGAGGAATCTTTGTTGAAGAGTTTGGTGGAATTACCCAGTCGCTAATAATGAAAGGCAACGGTTTCTGTCGTCACCTCAATGACGCGTCATAGGATGTTGTATAACTCGATAAAAGTGTGTTGGACGATTACCTCCTGCAAATGATTAGAACGACTCCTATTCGGACAACGATATGTAGGTGAGTGTGTTTGTGTATGGCCGAATGTTTACTGATATGTGAATCTGTGTGATGTTTGATGACATTGAGCGAGTTCATTGTGTTTTGTTCAGAATATCATACACCTTTGTGGCATGACGGCCGAATTCTTGCGAATCATGCGTGTGATCTGCGTACGACCCCCAGTCGACACACTCCTAAATCTCACTAGTCTGGTGTTGAGATTGGTGAATAAGGAGGGAAGTATTTGCATGATCGTAACAACTTCACCCACTGAGAATACGTACCATTGCTAGTGAATCTTCTGAGCACCAGCTTGAAGCCCTCTGTTTCACTAGGAACGTAAAAGTCTCATACAAAAGAAAGAAATGTAGTGTGCTTTGATGGACATTTGCCACCGTTAGTGGTGTGTCAACTGTGTGGTATCAGGTATGGATTTTTGATTCTCACAATTATCGCTTGTATCACGACAATCCAGGTTCTTCTTCAAGAGTCTACTGCATCAAAACTGGACACCGAGGTGGCCAGAATCACACTGAAAGTCTCTCGTCTGCAGTACAAAAGCAATTTCAAGGAAAGATATTGGTACTCACCTCTCGAAATGGAATCCTCTTCATCAACATCTTCACTGATTATGTGTTCTGAAAGGGAGACAGAATTCAAGTTGTCAACAGTGACTCATTTACATTTCGAGGAGAACGATGTTCATCACCTCAGCATCCTGGAAGTCACAATACTGTCATTAACTCCTCAATTACCCAACTCCAAGCCTTCCCTTAAGCTTAGATTATTCGCCATTGATATTTACTGGTCTTTAATCTCCTGTCACTTTTCATACTTGATGATTTTACCTGTTGCATGTGTGGAACTCCTTCTGGTGTTCCATTTTACTTTCGCTTTCATACCTGTTTCTTTACAAATCTCTCTTCCTCTAGAGTGGCGTTTCTAAAACCGTTTTGTTCGGTTACAGGATTTCATCGTCTCAACTGACTTCGGTCAGAGTACCGTTGGAAAAGCGACAGTGAGCACTGAACAGCCAGCTGTTGCGTCTTCGTAGTTTAGGACGTATTTGCAGTACGCCCCCACAACCAGGGTTCTAGTCCAATACCTTCCGCTAACAACGTGGTCTTATAGACCATGAAGCCACTAGTACGTCTTTCAATGGCCCATAAACTCCAACTTCATGAAGAAATCCTGTAACCAAACAAATCCCTGCAATTCAACTCTCCACAGTGTCATTTTCTTCTTCGCGTACGACTTCATATTCAATTACTGATTACACTGCTTCCGTCAATGATTCTTAGTACTATTATTATTATTATTATTGTGAATTTTTCAAAATATACTCTACATAACACTTGTAAGTAGCTTACCCAACTTCGGTAGAGAGAATCTGTTTCCATGTGAGGTAGCAAAGATCAACTGATTTTCTGCCTCATTTCTCAGGGAATACTTCTTCTCATTACTCTGTAAGATGATCATTTCAAGTGGTTGATTCTCCTGTCCACTGAAGATAACCGTAACGTCATCTCTTTTACAGAAGGCGGACTCTTGTTCCCATGTCACATTTCGAAGCTTTCCAGACTGTAGTTGGACGTTTTTGATCCTCGGAACTGGTGAAACAATTGAAGAGAAATGCAATTACCGATTTTACATATTACTACTTATAATTTCTTACATAATATGGTGGCATAACAGTTGGCAGTGGAGGTAATAAGGCGACTGCAGAGATCACCCTATTCCTTCTTGAAATGGTACTTTAGACGAATTGATTACATCAATTAGTCATGTAATTCAGTGACCGCAACTCACTCAGCAAATCTCAACCCTTATAAACTGCAACCCATTTTGTTTTTGAGTTGCTATGTGAACCTTCAAGCTAACACTGATTGTTAATTTTCTCTGCTTTCCGTCTTATCTCTCCTCACTCTTTTCTTCTTTGAAAGCGTACAAATTGGTGATGGAAACTAAAAATAAATATGGTAGGCTAGCTGGCCAGTTAGCCAACAAGGAATCTGGTGTTATCAACTCAGTCGACTTCCTGAGCACAGTCACACCAAGTCTTTCTCTTTCACTCATGTCAACTAGGAAAACGGATAACTCGGTCGTGATCACATACCAAGGAGGTCGTCGAATGGAATCTGAGTGAAAGGCGATGGATTCTCTCATGAGACACTTCAGTGCTCTTCACCACTAACGACTACATCGAAGCTTGAAATCAGCTATCTCAGTATTTCAGTGGAATTCGCCACTGTGGTAGAATACTATTTGACGTAAAACACATCGTTTGATAGAGTGTCAATAACTGGGTAACAGTTGGTGCTCCAAATCAGGACTTTCAGCTTACGAGGTTACCACTTTTATCAGTCAGTCATCGCACTGAAATCCTACCACCTCTTACTATGCACAAAATGAGACTACCGTGAGGAAAAGACATAAGAGTAAGCCGTGTTCAACAGACTCGCTCTATGATGAGACAGCTAGCTGTCCAATGGCGTTTGCATTTCAACGATTCTCTCAGCTTGCTACCGAAATCTACATTCAGGTCATCGACAACCTACCAACAATCACGTCTACAAAAGCAAATTCATTCGTAATGGGAATACACGTACTCAACTAAATGACGCAAATTATTTACTATTTATATTTTTGTTGTTCCTCTGGCTTCCGAGCTGAATATACGCTTTACTCAACACATATCTACTTCGGCCTATTCTCTGTTGCCCTCTCTAGTTGGGTCCATGATCGCACATAATCTCTCATCTCGTGAAATTCACACCATCCGCTCCATGTTGCCCTCCAACCTGGGTTCCAATCAGCGATGGACTGCAATAAGCGTGATATCGTTCAACAGTCTCCTTATCGTTTTCTCAATTCATCTCAATATTCTCCTCCATATTTTCTGAACTATAGGTTCTTCGTTAGTCTGTTCCCAGAGTTTCGTATCATCGATTCTTTCTAGCTGAGCATTGGATCTTCAGCATGCAGGCAACGAAGGTAGCTGTCGATAAGCGTCTGCAACAGGCTGTTGGAAATGTGATTCTTCATCAGTTCCAACCGACCGTGGTTGAGGCAAGGCCATCTGGACAAGTGGGGAGAGTGACTGACCCCGTTGAAAACCCTCCCTTTCATACTGATTCATGCTTCTTGTTGTTGTCGCTGATGTTGTGGCTGTTGTTGATCACAGGGTATCTTCATCACCTGTGTCTTCTCTTTGTCTACCTGGAGTTCACCACCTGATTGTTCAGTCAGTTTGTTGGCTGTCTTCTGCAAGACTTCGAGTTTTACTCTGTGTGACATAAAGGATAAATCATCAACGTGCAAAATCCAGACCCTTTAGATTTCCTTATTCGTCTAGTAAGCTCCTATATTATCACTTCTCACAGTCTGATGCATAATCTAATCCACAACTAATAGGCTTACCGTTGGGGAATAAAGGCGGACAGGCTTCTCTTACCTCAGTGTTCACTTCAAAGTCAGACTACGTCTTTTCTATGTCCACCTGGAATTCGCCATCTCAGTGTTCAACCAGTTTGTTGGTTGTCGTCTTTAAGTCTTCAAGTTTCACTGTGTGTGACATGAAGCATAAATCGTCCACGACACCTGGCATCGTCATATAGCCAAATGTTGAATGAGGCTGATAAAGATTTGGGACAATGCACGCCGTAGTGTTGAAGCAGTTTCCAAATTACCTCTCAGTCAATGATGCATTGTCGAAGGCCTGTCCGACTTGGATGTAGTTGTTGAGGTAGAAGTGGAGGTGGAGGTTTCACTACTATTCTATTCCTCGTTCAAATTGTCGCACATCTGCTTTCCATGAAAAATTAAAGCTTAATTGATAAATCAAATTACATATACTCAGTGACGTGTGTACAGTATTCATGTGTATGCGTGTGCGTATTCGTGCAGTTAATGAAGGAGTGGGAGTGACTTGGTCTATTCTACTCTGCAAAACAGGCATCCATCTCTGCCAACTTACCTCTTTTGTAATTAAGTCTATGTTCTCCTAACGTAGGTGACAACCATTTGCCTGTTCTCCCTGAGACATAATATGCTGAATCCGTACATGCTTCTCCAATAGCATTCAATGAAGCAGACGTTGTATCCACACTGAGTATGATAGAAGTCTTTGAAAGCAAACTGATATATAATTGCAGCTCTAAGTCTTTGATACCCGAAGGACTGAAGGGAATCCAAGAAAAGCCTAAATGTGTATTGCTTTCTTGAAGGAGCCAAAATTTTCTTTCGTCTGTATTTGGTAAATTAAAATAGACAAAACAACGATGGAAATATTCATGATAAGATGTAAGTGAAAATTTGAAGCGAAGTTGGTGATGTGATGAGAAAGGTAAACATTTCAGGTTTAACGACGAGTTGACCCCAATAAATATTAGAACCGTTGGGAATCAAGAGGATGCAGTGTACGCCAGTTGTTTCGTCCTCGATGATTGAGACACTTTGGGATTATGCATCAGCCATCAGGTGTCGAATCATGGAACCTTAGTGTTACAAGTCTAGTGAGCTCGATGACCATTCGGCCATTGAGATCTGTTTCAAGTCAGGTATGTGATTGGCAGCACGCACCTATCACCAGGGTGCGTGCGCGCCCACAGAATCAGCGCCTACACCAAATCAAATATGTGATCAAGATGATGGATAGAATCCCAGCGCCTGAACGGTCTACGAGATCGCTAGCCTGGTAGGCAGAATCCTAGTGGTTGCTGCTTATTTCTGAAGACCTGCAAACAACAGGGATGAAACAGCTGGCATTTCTATACTACAAGATGATTTCCTCTCATGTTCCTCTGATGTTCCTCTAATTGATGTCATCAAATCCTTGCCATTCAACACTTTATAAATAAAAATCAAGTGGAGAATTCCTCTAAATCTACATAGGTGTATAACTTGGTCACTGTCGTATTATGTGATTCCATATTAATTTGTTATCAGATATATGACACATACAGTAAGACAGTATTATTTACTGGAAGACAGAGTTTACAACACAACACGCGAATAATCATGATCACATCAATTAGGACTACACAAATTCCAAACTTTAGTTGTATTCGTCACTCTGATTCTTCGGAAATCGTATGTATCGGGCTCTCAACAAGGCAGGAATAAAAGTGACATTCGAGCCCCTCCCCATCTCACACCCGTAAACTCACTCAGAAACAAATTATGTCGTCCACAGTCCTAAGAGACGATACGGCTCTATAAACCAAGTAGTTTTGTTTAAATAATTACCTGTCATGATTTCCACGTCAAATACATAGATCTCATTAGTGGAAAGGCGTCAGCCAGACTAGAGGGGTATAAAAGCATGAAAACATCTGGATTACTTGAGCCTGATACTTCATAAACCACGGAAATAGCTCAGCCCATCCAGAGAGGAAAACAGGAAATCTGGATACACCACCATGCAGAATATTAACACACACACCCAGTGATCATACACGCAACCACAATATCAATTAACCAATCGATCACAACAGGAACTGTATTTAGACATGGTTTATTAGGGTTCAAACACACTGTGACACTCCGGTGCTGAAGAGAACAGAAGAGAAATACCTGTCAACTGTCTTCAAGAAAAATGAATACTCATTCAAATTCATCGAAAGATATTTAGACTGGAATCAAAATATCTATAACTACGGAATACACACGAGGAATATTTCTGAAACACTTGGAGATAAACACTGGAGGAACAGTCGAAAATGACAGGATCATATATCAAATCAATTTCCTGATTTGTCGACCTCATCATTCGAATCACAATTGCGAAATCAGTGTCAAATATCGACGTTAGTGTAGGCGATCAACCTTCGTGATTATAGGAAGTTTGCTAATCTCCGAGAAGAGTAAAGGCTGAAGGATGTCGGCATAGAATATGATGATTGAAAGTATCTACCACCACTGTGCTTATTTTACAAGTGAATGTAATATCGGATACTTTTAGCCCATCTGGATGATTTTGTTGTAGTTGTGGTCTCTGAGCTGGATGTCTTGTCTTACTGGACAAAATCGCCAGCATAAACTTCAATTTGAAGTGAGTTTCGAAATTCTCTACGAGTTTATTAGTCATCTCTCCTGGTTACCTTGGTTGTCATCGATTATTTCCGACTATTTGCTTACCCTCCAGTCCACTTGTATTCGAACTGATTGCTTCCTTGATCAGAAAAGTGATCTTTGTTCCATGTGATCGCCTTCTTTATGCATTCGTAAATTTCGCCTACGTGAATATGCCTGCTGATTGTTGAACCCCTTGAGTATCAGCCCTCCGGAAATTCTCTGGTCTATTCGTGTTTCCCCTTGTCTGAAGATGATCTTCAACCGTATAGTCGCAATCGATCCATCCGTAGATGTGTTTATGCAATGACATGTGGCAGTGAATACTGTGTCTATTCACGGCTAATTCATGTTCATGGATGCGAAGACGAAGAGTGACCATCCACTTTGGTCAATGCATTGTTCACAGAGTCACTTCAATTTATTTTGTAGATGGCGTCAGTTTGTCTCTTCTCACTGTCGAGCCTTCTGCTTAGCATAGAGTAGAAATGACTAGACACCGTCGGACGTGATCAGAATAAGACAATTATTTGGTGGATGATGGTCAGCAGTGGAATCGACATTGCACCTCCATAAATCCCACTGACTAGTTGTAGCACATCAACAACGACATGAATCATTTTATTTCAAGAAAATAATTCAACGAATATGAATGTGTGGAAAAAGCAAATCAATAATATATTCAGATTCCATGAACAACTTACTTCCATCTTCATTTTTCGCTAAATAGGCCAGTTCATATTCTCCAGAAATTCCTTGTGGCGAGACTGTTACTACAATGAATAAGGAAAACAATTAGCACAGGTACAATGTGAATACGGACTTGAGACTCACAATAAAAATGGAATTAGGGTGGCATCTAAAGAAACCTACCTTCCTAAAAACTAACCATCCAGCGAACTAACCAACGAACTTAATCGGAGACATACTCTTCCAGATTATAGTCCCCAATGATCCAATTACGCAAAAACAACAAAAATTATCAAATCTCATGTAGTGACGATAACTTAGAGGAGTTACACAGGTCAAACCAGCTGATACGGATCAGTCACATTATGAGAAGATATGAATTCAGGGTTAGGACTAGAATTATTTATCCCACTAAGTGGAGTAATCTAAATTAAATTTGTTCGCCGTGTTCTACAAATACGATATATCAGTGGTATATGCGGAGACGTTCATTGGCATAAAAATATCAAATGACAGCGAGAAACATCCGTCGTCAGGCAAAGAAAATGCGTCAGCGATGCGGAGACACATTGAAGACGTGAATGAGACACAAGGAAATAAAATATGGAGGACAGAATTAGCACAACACGGAAGATCTGTGCACATGGTGATTTGAAGATAAGGTGTACACAATTCCCATGTACAGTGATACCAAATACCGAAAAAATATTCATTTACGAATCTCCTATCACTTACTTCTAGAATTGGTTTCGCTGCCAGGACCATAGACAACACATGGATATTGGTGGCCTAGCAAAGGTGGTCACGCACTAGATGATCACAATGTAGGCTGCAATTGAGACAAGGAATTTCGCAGAACTAACAAGAGCGGCAGTCTCACTAATACATAGCAATCTATGTCAAACTGTGTTCATTGACAATTCAAATACCAGGTGGACACGTGTTTGACAGCACAGGAATGTCAAACTATGGCGTTTTTATTGGCGATAGCGAAGTAACCTTCTTCTTCATTGTTGTGCACGAGTGATCGTGAACAATACTCTGTACCGAATCTCTGTGAGAGATTAGTGCGACAGCTACCACGAATGAGGAGGCAGTGATTACGAAGTACGGACCTATCAGGATGTATGAGATGAGAGAGATAGCAGGTGTGAAAGCATAGAAAGCGCAGAACACGACAGTGTTAGTAAGAGGATTTGATCCTCTGTTCACTGGAGACGGTAATTCCCATGGTTGTTGTGATGAGGTGAGGCATGTAATCCTACTGGGATTTTGGAAAATGGCGCCATTCACACGGCGAAGAGTCTTATTTCATTTGGAAGATGGAGTCGAGATACAAGTGAATTATATGTAACAGAATGATATTATTGAAGAAGCTGACAGTCTGTATCAGTCTCCAGTTCTTTTAGTGAAGAAAGAAAATGGGAATTGCAACAAACCTACGACAAGTAGGCAGCTGACCACACTACTAAGAAAGAAAGATAGATGAAGAGTGAACGCTTTCGGATCTATGAGTCGGTGAGAAATGGTGGAATCTGGTTGGAGGTAATATCTCAGTCTCTACGCCATGAAATGACACCATGATGTCACCAGATAGCACATACAGGAGTAGCCAGGACAACCAACTATTGGGACTGCCCATGTATGAGAGAAGGTGTATCAAAATATATACGTGTACGTTCGCAGTGCCAGTTGATGAAAGGAGATTGGTGCATAAGACCAACTCTGCAGTGAACTCCAGTTATGGCAGTAGGAGAGCTGTGATCCTTAGTTGTGAATCGACCTCAACCGAGGACATCCAGCGGGGATCGGTCCATGCGTCGGTGGCACAGTGGTTAGGACTCGCGCCGTCCATGCACATGTCCCTAGGTTCTGTTGTGCTGTTGGTAAAAAAAGCGAATGGGATGTACAGATTCTGTGTTGATTTTCGACAGTTAAACAGTATGACAGAGTTAAGACCGTTTGCCATGCCAACAGTGGTAGAAACTTTAGATCGCCTATAAGGTGCAAATGTGTTTTCGGTCCTCGATCGTCGTTCAGAATACTGGTAGATACAGATAAAACAAGGTGATAGAGATAAGACGGCATTCATCGTAGGTCAGACACAATATCGATTCAAACTCATGCCGTCTGGACTAGCAGGTGCACCGTTTACGTTCAGACGACTGATGAAGCTATTACTTAGGAACTTGAAAAACGTGGAGATGTATGGTGATGACCTCGTCATATACAGTCAAAAGGAAAACGATCATGTGAAGCATGTAGAAGCCGTGCTGCGACTCATCGAAGAGTTTGGACTGCACGTCAACAAAACCAAGTCCCAGATAGCTAAAAGGAATGTTACTCTGTTGAGACATAAAGTAGGGAATGGTGCGATTAAACCACTACCGGAGAAAATTTTGACGATTAAAACGATTTCAGCTCCGAATTCAAAGAGAAAACTGTGACAATTCTTGGGTAGAGCAGCGTTTTATAGTCGCTTTGTGAAGAACTTCAATAAGATAGCAGCCCCTTTGTACAGGCTACTAGGTGAGCCGAAGTTTGTTTGGTCGGAGGAATCGCAGAGGACATTCGACAGAATTAAACAGCTGCTCGACCACCAACAAATGATGCTAAAACTACCTGTACTTGGAAGACAGTTCACAGTGTGTACAGATGCCAGTGACTACGCTATAGGTGCGGTCCTAAGACAGTGTGAGGGAATCGTTGAGTATGCCAGTCGGGTTTTGACACACACAGAGAGAAAGTATTCAACGATAGAGAAAGGATGTTTAGCAATGGTATGGGCAGTCGACAAATGGAGACCTTATTTACTCGGCCGGCGGTTCCACATCAAAACTGATCATAAGCCGCTACAGGTTTTGAAGACAGCGAGAGACCCACGGGGAAAATTGTCACGGTGGATGTTGCGTCTTCAGGAGTACGATTTTACGATCTCACACGTTCCTGGAAGTGAAAATGTCTTGGCAGATTTGTTATCGAGACCAGAAGACGAGTCCGAGTTGCCCGAGGTCGCTTACGGAGTGCATGCAGTAGAAAAAGATCCAATAAGACTTGCACGTAGGCAGAGGTTGGACGATACGCTGGATACAGAAATACAGGTGATCACCAACGGAATATAAGTGGATCAAGCTACGGCAAGTAAGGAGCTAACCACACTACTCAGGCAGAGAGATCGACTAAGAGTGAATGCCTACGGGACTCTGACCTGGCGAGAGAACGACGGCAGCTGGCTGGTTGTCACACCTCAATCGTCGCGCCACGACATGATAGAAGAATGTCACCAGTTGTCTGTCTGTTTGTCTGCCACACTCCGTGTAGCACATGAAGCAAGAGAAGAAAGTAGAAGAAATGCATAATAGAGACAGTATACAGAGGTGTGAGACAAAGGAATAGTAGTAACGAAGAACAAAACAGTTTCATTGCAAATCATAAGTCACAAGGAGTGGATACATCTGCGCCACTGAGAACGATTTTGAACCATGTCACCAATTGTTTCCAACCACTGGTTTTTACCGTCCCGAGGACCCCAATCAGTCAGGAAGTCTACACCTTCCTACGTGGCTTAGACCAACTGTTGTGGATTTCATTGACTGGTGCCAAGTTTTTGTTTGACCGCCGCTAGCTTTTTTCCAGCCTGACCCTATATCCGCTAACATTGCTCGTCGAGGGAGGCGATGGCTTGGCATGCGTAACACATGTCCTAACCATCTCAGTCTTTGCAACTTCTAGACTTCGTCGATTGATTTCCCCTGTTTACTTAGAACTCTACGCCTAACCTCCATGTTGCTCACCTTATTATGCCACTTTACACGGGAGATAGAACGCAGGCACATATGATCTAAGACAGCTAATCTTGTCATGTCTTCCACTCTCAGTGGCCAGGTCTCGCTCACAGCCATAAAGGAGGATGGAGGGGACTGATGAGCAGTACACCCGCCCTTTGGTCGATAGTTGGATATCTTGTCTGCGCCAGAGACGGCGTAAACTGGCAAACTCGAGACGAGCCCCTTGTATTCCTGCTGAGATTTCGTCAGAGGTCAACCCGTTGGCGTTGGCTGATGGTACTTCCCAAATAAGTGAAGCGGTCAACGTGCTCTACCACTTCACTTCCTATTTTTAAACTAGGCGTCGATGTAGTTCAGTCCTGTAACATCATCTTTCATTTGGCAACAGTAGCGAATCGTATGCCAAACATTCATAGATTGCGGCTCAAGGTGTTTAGAAGACTCTGCATTTTGTCAGAGTCATCGCCTAGGAGGACTATATCGTCTGCATATTCTAAGTCGACGAGATTATTCCTTGGTAGCAAGTTAAACCCTGATTCGCTGAAGTCACTTAGGGTTAAGTCGATTAACACATCTATGATGAAATTGAATAGAAAAGGGGATAATGGGCATCCTTGACAGACACCACTAGTCGTCACCAGTTCAGATGACAGCTCGCCGTAAGCCCTCACCTGGCTGTATGAGTACGAGTAGAGTGTCTTAATCAGTGCAATATATTTTCTCGGAATTCCCTTTACAGCCAAGCATCTCCAAAGAACTTCTTGATCAACAGATTCAAATGCTGCCTTTAGGTCAAGAAATATAATGACTGTTGGAGACCAATAGGAATGCCTATGTTCTAGAACCTGTCGGAGGGTGAAGATATGATCAATACACCCTCTTCCTGGTCTGAAGCCTGCCTGGCTCTCTCGTGTTTGTGCCTCCCGAGCACCACTCAGTCTACGTGCGATTATTGAGCCTAAGACTTTAGATACTATATTAGTCAAGCTAATCCCTCTGTGATTATCACAGGAAGACTTGTCTCCCTTCTTGTATATGGGGATAATCAGTGACTAACACCAACCCGATGGGACTTCTTCTGATTTCCAGACGCTGCCTAGTACCTCAGTTAATGCAGACAGTGAACTGTCTCCACCATACTTAAATACCTCTGGAGTCATTCCATCAGGTCCCGCTGTTTCGCCTAGTTTCAGATTGGTGACAGCTTTAGTAACCGCATTTAGGGAAGGAGGACCTGTGTCTATATCCCATTCAGGGAGGTGTTGAATTTTCGGGAGGTTGAGGTGGCTATGGGCCAATTAAACAGTTCCTCATAATGCTCTTTCCAGCGATCCAGTCGTCTATCCTGGGAGCTAATTATAGTGCCATTTTTTTCCGAGATTGTTTCACTAATGATGTGTCTTCTCCCACCCGTTTCCCTGATGAGTCTAAATAGTTGCATATCCCCGAAGCTTTCTCCATCTCTTTCGCTTTTGTCACCCACCACTGTTCACGGTCCTTGCGGAGACTTTTCGTAAGTTTCCTTTTGTGCAGCTTTCGCTCCTCAGTGAATTCGGAGCTCGCCGGAATAAGTCGTCTTGCATCTATCATTTCGGATGAGGCAGTCGAAATCCGATAGTATTTACTCACCTTTGGATTTACCTTATTCACAGCTCTTACAGCTGTATCTATGGCTGCCTGGATATTTTTCCAAGCTTCCTCAGGGTGAGCACAGCTGTCGAACTCAGATGTGTTTAGCTAGTTCTTCCTCAAATACGGATTTAGTTTCTTGATCGAGCTGGGGACGTGATGGGTTTACCGCCAGCTGTTTCCTACGTCCGTTTAGTCGTGAGCACACCCGAGCGCGAACCAGTGCGTGATCGGTATCTACACACGTGTTCCAGAAGGAGCGACAATCTCCTACCGACCCACGCCAACGATAGCTTATTGCTGTGTGGTCTATTTGTGTCCAGCGTTGGTTTGATGAAGGGGGTCACCAGGTAAAATAGTGTCTGTCCTTGTGTGCTTACAAGAAAAAAATGATTATCTGAACATAACTGTAGGAGACGGTCACCGTTGTCGGTTCGCTGGTACAGAACTCCACAGGTGCCACCAACATCCTGAGCGTTTAGCCTTTCGCAGCAAACTAGACAGCGTTTGGTAAAACTCATCCTTCGTTTCATCTGAACTGCAGTCAGTGGGGGTGTAGGCGGAGATTACGAAAAGGCATCGGCGAGTAGTGCAGTCCTTTCTACTTTTTACTGATCCGTTCAGATGGACAGCACACATTCGGCTATCTACTGGGAACCAGTCAAGCAATGTCTTTTCTGCCCTAGTACTCAGAGCTATCCCTACGCCAGCTAATCCTCGTGAACTGCCTGTGGCATCTCCTGGCACCCTCAGGGTGAATTTTGCGGATTCATCCTGTTGGCCAGGTGGTGTTAGGTGAATAACCACACTTGGGTCTTGTATGCGTGTTTCTGAAACACAGCATATATCAATGGCTCGGGATGCCACGGTCTTGGCTAGTGATGCTTGTTTTCCTATTTGGCAAAGTGTCCTAACATTACAAGCTCCTATACGAAATTGGTGGCGTGGCTTTAGGAGGCTGTCGGTGGTGGTTTTTTGTCACCAGCTAGCGCATACCGGCGTGATCAGAACAACCGACCTCCAAATACAATTATGTACTGGCCAGGTATGAGAGAAGACGTAGCAAGATACGTACTTGGATGTCCACGGTGCCAGCTTATGAAAGGTGACTGGTGTATACGACCATCACTTCAGTCGATTCCAGTTACCGCGATAGGTGACTTGTGGTCCGTAGATGTCATGGGTCTATTTCCTCAGACATCCAATGGTAATCAGTACCTCTTGGTGATGACGGAACACGCGACACGATGGGTAGACGCCGTAGCAGTCCCAGACCAACGTGCAAGGACCGTGACAGATGCAGTAGTTAGACACATTGTTGCAGACCACGGCGTACCAAGGCAATACTGACAGACCAAGGTCCCTGTTTCGAGAGTGAAGAATTTACTTCTCGTTCGCAACAGCTGGGCATCAAGAGAATCAGAACGACCCCATATCATCCACAAACGAATGGCCTAACGGAGAGGAACAACCGTACACTGACGGAGTGGCTGGCCTCGAAGGGCGGGAACTGGGAAACGGAACTTCCACTGATTTTACTGACACATCGTGCTACCACTCAGGAAACAACGAAGAAGTCACCCTTCCAACTAGTGTATGGTAGAAAACCACGATTACCGATACACAACGAGGCCTGGCCCCTTCACCAAAAATGGAGTACGACGAAATTAAAAGCAGAGCGGAAAGAAGCAGTCAAGAATGTAATGCAGAAGCAGCGGAGTGATGTCGCGAAGTCTCAGCTGAAAAGAAAGACTCAATGCAATACCTTTGCAGTCGGGGACCAAATGAAGTGTAGAGACAAAAGATATAGAGCTGGATGCGCGCCAGGTTCACGGAAACTCCTTCCAAAATGGGAATGACCATACACAATCACAAAAAGACGAAGTCAAGTATATACCATCCGAAGAGGTGATAAACAGAAACGAGTTAACGCCAGTCAGCTCCAAAGATGGGTAAAGTGGGACAAGCTGGTCAGTAACAATCCTCAACTAGAGGATGTAGCACCCAGAAGGTCGGAACGTCTGCGCACTAAACTATTTGACGTGGCGACGAGTGCGGTGAGAGCAGGCTGCTAGCCTATTGGTTGACATTAATCTACGTAAATGTCTAGGTCACTAATATGGGGCGTGAGAAAATATGAACAAGGCTGTTTCAACAGCCAATCACAGCAAACTTAAACGTGGGCAAATACGATTCGCAGATAGATGGCTCTACTCCACTTTCCGAGGAACTCGAAAACAACCAATCAGAAGACTGCGTTGTGTACTTGACTAGGCTGCAATAATGTATGTAAAATTTATAATAAAAACGTATTGATTTCCGCAATAAAATGATCCGTTGCCAGCCCTTGTCTTCTGTTGTTACAATACCAGAACGTGGAAAATGATGAGAAGGATAAGTGGAAATCAATAATCCCAGAGAAAGAAAATCATATAAGATTTTAAAACACGTAGAAAAACATACCGCAGGAAACATATTTTACCAGATAACAGAGTTTACAACACATTCGTTGGATAATCCTCATCATCACAATAAGGAATATACATATACGAAATTTAAAAAAAATTTGACGAAATAAGGAGTATCCAATCTAAGATGACGATAGGAAAACGAGAAAAAAAACTGACATTACAGACCGAGAGCGTGTATCAACGGATGTGGACAGTCATATGGAAGTGTGCTATTTGTGGTGATATCGACTGAGTGGATGATGTGTTTCCCTAGGTCGACTGGATGGAGAGGTGACGCGGTGAGTTGACAGGCGACTGTGTGTGATGAGGAATGAAATTGTGACTGTGATTTGGTTGGTGGGTCCGACAGTCTGTTGGTCGATCGCCAACAACACATGCTCACTGAGACTGCAATACATTCACCGAGATTCTACCACATGACTGCAGGATAGACAGAGGATAGTCACGAAGACAGGCGGACAGACAGATAGACAGACAGACAGACGCTCAGACACACAGTTAGACAGACAGACAAACATGCAGAGAGACAGACACACTGACTCACTGACAGCCAACACCCACCAACACACACCAACACACGCAGACACACCAACACTGACCCTCTTCAGTCGGATCGAAAAAAGCAATGTAATAATAATAATTCTTCCTTCACGTTCCCATTGGAACTTAGAGCTCCAAGCTAGTGGCTTGGACATACTGTAGCAGTGTTTAATTTTTACAGGATGGGGTTGCTAGCCCTATGCCCAACCTTTCCTTTTTACCAGCATTGTTTCTTGCTCAGTGAGGTAAAGGAGTGCGCCGGCCGGGGGTCGAACCTCGGACCATATGCATGTTCGGCGAGCGTCCTAACCGCTATTCCACGCACTTCAGAAACACAACAACAACAGAAATGTGCACGACAAAATTGTGTAGAGACACTCACTCACCTGTCGAACTGGTAGTCTCTCCTCCAACCGCTTCACTGCTTGTCACTTCTGAAACGGAAAACCAATTCTCTTGTTAGCAATCACTTAAATTCTAATATTTTGAACTTCGCTTCCTGGTTTTTCTTCTGTTTACTGAAAACTCATCTAAGGTTTTCACATATTTACTTTATTGCTATTTACGTTTTTACACTGTCAGTCTTTTTTATCATTTATTTAATCTTTTAGCAGGTTTTTCCAACGAGTATGAATAAATTCTGCAATATTTGCATTTTTGTTCTTGAAACTGTTCTCTATCATAAGATTTGATAGTGTGAAATATTCCCATATTATGAATTAAAAGTCAATCTGAACGAAGAATATTCTTTTCAATAATTTCTCTTCAGGTTCTTACAATTATAAAATATAATATTTGTGGTCGTTACAATAAAGATAGCCAGGTATGCGGCGGATACATTTTTTAACGTAGAATAACAGATTAGTTATGGGGTGTCAAAATAAATAGTCATATTTGTGTGACAAACGTGCTAGGCTGAAATCGATTAGAAATATTGTAAAACGGGAGACAATAGTGGTGGTTAATCATAATGGAATTGTAGAGTGTGGGGTAGGAAAATTGACAAATCAGTTCAAGGTTATAAAAGGTGTCAGGTGAGTGGCTAGTACAAAGTGGTCTGAGTTAAGCAGGAGATTAGTCAGATTGACACTGATGTACAATTCGAGAACTTCTATATACAAACAGGGGACTTGGTCGCCTCTTCTGATGAGGACCTAGACAGATTCAAATCAACCCTGGTAGACTGTTGCTATCAGTATAGACAGAAAGATAAGAATAAGCCCCATAGTATACTCACAAAACAGCACCGAGAAGCTGTCAAAAGACTAAGACAAAATGAAAACATAGTTATTACCAGACCGGATAAGGGGCCGGGGATAGTAATTATGGATAAGCAGGACTACATCAATAAGATGAACTCCTTACTAGCTGACAGAAGCAAGTTTCAGAAGCCGAAAGCGATGAAAGATCATACGGAGAAAATAGAGAAAGAAATAACAAACTTATTAAAGGATTTGAAGGGTTAAGGCAATTTATCACCAAAAACTTTCGAAAACATAAAACCTACAGGGAGTACCATCTCACTTATGTAGAGTTTACCGAAAGTGCATAAATCAGGAGTGCTACTACGCCCCATACTAGACATGTCCCATTCACCCTATCACGAGACGGCAAAGTGGCTGGTACAGCTGCTTCAACCCTTGCATGACGAGTTAATAAAGCACAGCGTCAAGGATACCTTTCAATTTGTTGATAAGATAAAAACCTTGAGCGCGAATGGCAAATATATGGCATCACTTGATGTTTCATCTCTATTTACGAATGTGGCTCTAGTGGAAACAATCGATTATATCTGTGAACAGATTATAGAAAAGAAATTGTGCACTGATATTCCTATCAGTAATCTGAAACAACTACTTGTTAAATGCACAACGAATGTTCAGTTCCTATTTAATAATGAAATATACAGACAGGTTGATGGAGTAGCCATGGGATCCCCACTGCGACCTATTTTTGCGAATATATTTCTAGCAAAACTAGAAAATAGTTCGATGAAAGAGGAAATAGCAAAAATGGAAATGTATTGTCGTTACATGGATGACACTTTTGTAGTGTATGATGAAGGGTTAAGTAGTGATTTGATTTTGAGCAACTTCAATAATGCTCATCCAGCGGTCCATTTCACCTACGAAGGAGAATACAACGACTCTTTACACTTCCTCGACGTCCTACTAACGAGAAGAGAGGATGGTTCCGTCAAAAGAACCATATATAGAAAGCTAGAGACCAAAGCCCAGTATACACATTTCCTTAGCTTCGTACCGATGAAATACAAACGTAATCTAATCAGGTGCTTAGCATTTAGAGCGAGGTCTATTTGTTCTGAAGAGTGCATAGAGAAAGAACTCCAGATCATCCGAGACATTCTAAGCGAGAACGGATATCCAGAGAAGTTCATTAAAGCCAACATAGGTTATAATAGCCGTTAACATGAACTGACAACTATGGAGAAAAAGCCTCTGTTTTTACGTCTCCAATTCAAGGGAGATACTCCTGCGGAGATTCTATCCCAACGTTTAACCAGGGCGATAAAGAAAACTTTCTACTCTGCACGTCTGTGTCTATCCTTCACTAGCCGTCCAATGTTCACCCAGCAACCCAAAGATGCCTTACCTAACCTTAGCTCTTCTTCATGCATATACCATTTCAACTGTTCCTGTGGTTCAAGTTATATAGGGCGCACGATTAGGCAGGTTCGTCTACGGGTTCGAGAACACTTACCAGCTTGGTTCAGCAGGGGGGAAATTAAGTGCATAAAAAGCTCGATCCTGTCACACCTGGTCGATACTGGACATCGCATCGATGTCAACACAGCTTTCAAAGTTGTATACCGAATTCCGAAGTCGTTATCACGCACAGTTCGCTTACGTTTCCTACACATAGCTGAAGCTGTTGCAACAAGATCGACTAAACCGGAACTGTGTATCCAAAAGGAACACGTCCAGAGGCTGTTCCTACCGTGGCCAACCTTGGATTGAAGATTTTTCTTCTCACCAAGAGTACTTCTTCCCCTTAACCCTCTTGGTTTTTTTTCTTTTTAATTTGCTTATTATTATAAATATTATTATTACAGTTATTATTATTCGTCATAATTTATGCCCTTTATGCAAACATTCCCTCAATACTATCGAATTTTCATTTGTACGGACTTATTATTAGTGATATTATCTGTTTTCTCAATATATGCCTCCACCTGTTTCATTTAATATATTCGTTATCTCACTATGATCCTCTCATTCCAGTCTTACTATATCCTGCTTAACTCAGACCACTTTGTACTAGCCACTCACCTGACACCTTTTATAACCTTGAACTGATTTGTCAATTTTCCTACCCCACACTCTACAATTCCATTATGATTAACCACCACTGTGGTGAGAGCAGGCTGCTAGCCGATTGGTTGGCACTAATCTACGTTAAGGTCTAGGTCACTAATATGGGCCGTGAGAAAATATGAACAAGGCTGAGTCAACAACCAATCACAGCAAAGTTAACGTGGCAAAATATGATTCGCAGATAGAGAACTCTATTTGTCAAGGAATCCCGAAACAACCAATCAGAAGCCTGCGTTTGTCTACCTAACTTCTGATAAACAACCAATCAGATGACTGCGCTTGTCTATAATAATGTAGTTGAAATATGTATAAATACGTGTTGATTTTCATAATAAAACGATCTGTTGCTTCGCCCTTGTCTTCTGTTGTTACATTTGGTGTCGCTGCCTCCAGAAAATGAAGATCCCGTGGCCAGCTGCGTTTGAAGAAGGAGACATAAGGAGCTTCTTACGTGACTTCGAGGCTGTTGCTGAGCTGGTGGGTGTCAAGGAGCAGGCAGCGAAGGCAGTTGTCTTGGGGACGCTGTTGAGAGGCCGAGCGAAGGCTGCATATGACAGCGTAGACAGGTCAAATGGCACAGCGTCTTGGAAGAAATTGGTTGAACGACTAGTGTCCGAGTTTGACAGCGAAACAGACAGACAGCTAGCAATGCAGCAGTTCCGGTCAATGAAGCTTGGACCTGATGGAGACCCGCTAGTGTTGGCGGTGAAACTGACTAATCTACTTCGACGCGCGCTTCCCACTTTAGATGAAGAATCAGAAGCGCAGTTACTGTCTTCCCAATTCATCGAGAGTGTCCCAGACCACATTTCTCAGCGATTACAACTGGTTAACGCAACGCAGCCGATGGATATTAGCGAGCTGGCGAAGGTGACCAGACAGCTGCTGAGCACAACGGTAGCCGCTATAGACCAACCAAAACCAAACGAATATGAGCAGAAAATTGAAGCATTGCAGCGGGAAGTGGCGGCGTTAAAGTTGGCTGATAGAAAAGACCGGTGTTTTGAATGCGGTAAGCCGGGACACTGGAGAAGATACTGCCCAGAAAGGCGAAAAAGAAAAAATTTCAGACGGTATAATGCTTGTTCTTTCTTTCGTATGAACCTAGATTTAGTGGGGGCTATTGAGAAAGGGGCTCTGTATTCGAAGTTGCGAGTGAATGATCGAGAAGTAGTATGTTTGATAGATACAGGGGCGGCCGTGTCGTTAATAGATAAGAATTTATGTAAGAGTGTTAGCCCGTGTTCATTGACAGTACAAACAGTAGGCGGGTATGTGTTGCGTATCACGGGTAGATCGAACTGTACGGTCGTTGTTGGTGGCTGCGAGGTGACGTTTCCTTTCATTGTTGTACCCGAACTACAGCGAACGATATTAGGAGCGGATTTTCTGCGTGAGATTGGTGCCATAATCGACACGCAAGCGAACGTGGTGGTCACGAAATACGGGCATATCAACATGTATGAGACCAGCGAGATAGCAGCGATTAAGCTGCCGACGGTACACAATGTGACAGAGTTAATTAGTAAATACGATCATCTGTTCACTGGAGATGGCGACCCATACGGTTATTGCGATAAGGTGAATCATGAAATTCCGTTAAGTGATCCGAAAGTAAGGTCATTTACAACGCGAAGAGTTCCATGTCATCTGGAAGGCGAAGTGGAGCGACAAGTGCAAGAGATGTTAAAAGATGACATTATTGAGGAAGCTGATAGCCCGTACAACTCTCCAGTGCTGTTAGTAAAAAAAGCGAATGGGAAGTATAGATTCTGTGTTGATTTTCGACAGTTAAACAGTATGACAGAGTTAAGACCGTGTGCCATGCCAACAGTGGTAGAAACTTTAGATCGCCTACAAGGTGCGAATGTGTTTTCGGTTCTCGATCTTCGCTCAGGATACTGGCAGATACCGATAAAACAAGGTGATAGAGATAAGACGGCTTTCATCGTGGGTCAGACACAATATCGATTTAAACGCATGCCGTTTGGACTAGCAGGTGCACCGTTTACGTTCAGACGACTGATGAAGCTATTACTTAGGAACTTGAAAAACGTGGAGGTTTATGGTGATGATCTCGTCATATACAGTCAAAACGAAAACGATCACGTCAACCATGTAGAAGCCGTGCTGCGACGCATCGAAGAGTTTGGACTACGCGTCAACAAAACCAAGTCCCAGATAGCCAAAAAGAATGTTACTCTGTTGGGACATAAAGTGGGAAATGGTGAGATTAAACCACTGCCGGAGAAAATTTTGACGATTAAAACGATTCCAGCCCCGAATTCAAAGAGAAAACTGAGACAATTCTTGGGTAGAGCAGCGTTTTATAGCCGCTTCGTGAAGAACTTCAATGAGATAGCAGCCCCTCTATACAGGCTACTAGGTGAGCCAAAGTTTGTTTGGTCGGAAGAATCGCAGAGGACATTCGACAGAATTAAACAGCTGCTCGACCACCAACAAATGACGCTAAAACTACCTGTGCCAGGAAGACAGTTCACAGTGTGCACAGATGCCAGTGACTACGCTATAGGTGCGGTCCTAAGACAGGACGAGGGAATCGTTGAGTATGCCAGTAGGGTTTTGACACTCGCAGAGAGAAAGTATTCAACGATAGAGAAAGAATGTTTAGCAATGGTATGGGCAGTCGACAAATGGAGACCTTATTTACTCGGCCGGCGGTTCCACATCGAAACTGATCATAAGCCGCTACAATTTTTGAAGACAGCGAGAGACCCACGGGGGAAGTTGTCACGGTGGATGTTGCGTCTTCAGGAGTACGATTTTACGATCTCACACGTTCCTGGAAGTGAAAATGTCTTGGCAGATTTGTTATCGAGACCAGAAGATGAGTCTGAGTTGCCCGAGGTCGCTTACGGAGTGCATGCAGTAGAACAAGACCCACTAAGACTTGCACGTAGGCAGAGGTTGGACGATACGCTGAATACAGTAATACAGGTGATCACCAACGGAATAGAAGTGGATCAAACTACGGCGAGTAAGGAGCTAACCACACTACTCAGACAGAGGGATCGACTCAGAGTGAATGCCTACGGGACTCTGACCTGGCGAGAGAACGACGGAAGCTGGCTGGCTGTCATACCTCAATCGTCGCGCCACGACATGATAGAAGAATGTCACCAGCTAGCGCATACAGGCGTGGCCAGAACGACCGATCTCCTAAGACAAAGTATGTACTGGCCAGGTATGAGAGAAGACGTAGCAAGATACGTACTTGGATGTCCACGGTGCCAGCTGATGAAAGGTGACCGGTGTATACGACCACCACTTCAGTCGATTCCAGTTACCGCGATAGGTGACTTGTGGTCCGTAGATGTCATGGGTCCATTTCCTCAGACATCCAATGGTAATCAGTACCTCTTGGTGATGACGGAACACGCGACACGATGGGTAGACGCCGTAGCAATCCCAGACCAACGTGCAAGAACCGTGACAGATGCAGTAGTTAGACACATTGTTGCAGACCACGGCGTACCGAAGACAATACTGACAGACCAAGGTCCCTGTTTCGAGAGTGAAGAGTTTACTTCCCGTTTGCAACAGCTGGGCATCAAGAGGATCAGAACGACCCCATACCATCCACAAACGAATGGCCTAACGGAGAGAAACAACCGTACACTGAAGGAGTGGCTGGCCTCGAAGGGCGGGAACTGGGAAACGGAGCTTCCACTGATTTTACTAACACATCGGGCTACCACTCAGGAAACAACGAAGAAGTCACCCTTCCAACTGATGTATGGTAGAAAACCACGATTACCGGTACACAATGAGACCTGGCCCATGCACCAAAAGTGGAGTACGACGAAATTAAAAGCAGAGAGGAAAGAGGCAGTCAAGAATGTAATACGGAAGCAGCGCAGTGATGTCATGAAGTCTCAGATGAAAGAAAGGACGCAGTGCATTACCTTTGCAGTCGGGGACCAAGTGAAGTGTAGAGACAGGAGATATACAGTTGGAGGCGGGCTAGGTTCACGGAAACTCCTTCCAAAGTGGGAAGGACCATACACAATCACAAAAAGACGGGGTCAAGTATATACCATCCGAAGAGGTGATAAACAGAAACGAGTTAACGCCAGTCAGCTCCAAAGATGGGTACAGTGGGACAAGCCGGTCAGTAACAATCCTCAACTAGAGGATGTAGCACCCAGAAGGTCGGAACGTCTGCGCACGAAGCTATTTGACGGGGGGACGAGTGTGGTGAGAGCAGGCTGCTAGCCGATTGGTTGGCACTAATCTACGTTAAGGTCTAGGTCACTAATATGGGCCGTGAGAAAATATGAACAAGGCTGAGTCAACAACCAATCACAGCAAAGTTAACGTGGCAAAATATGATTCGCAGATAGAGAACTCTATTTGTCAAGGAATCCCGAAACAACCAATCAGAAGCCTGCGTTTGTCTACCTAACTTCTGATAAACAACCAATCAGATGACTGCGCTTGTCTATAATAATGTAGTTGAAATATGTATAAATACGTGTTGATTTTCATAATAAAACGATCTGTTGCTTCGCCCTTGTCTTCTGTTGTTACACCACTATTGTCTCCCGTTTTACAATATTTCTAATCGATTTCAGCCTAGCACGTTTGTCACACAAATATGACTATTTATTTTGACACCCCATAACTAATCTGTTATTCTACGTTAAAAAATGTATCCGCCGCATACCTGGCTATCTTTATTGTAACGACCACAAATATTATATTTTATAATTGTAAGAACCTGAAGAGAAATTATTGAAAAGAATGTTCTCTATTATTTCGAATTATTTATAAAATTCATATGCAAGACATCAATGATTCCATTATATTTCCATACGTCCATCCATACAGTTTTAACATTGTCATGGTTTTCACATTTTCGCTCATACCACATCCTTCATTACCTCTGGTTAATCAACTTATTTCTTCAATCTCCGTTGGATTCGATGAATTAATGCTGAAATGTTTAGTTGAACCATCCGGTCGCTTATAATGAAAGGCATATATCCCTGTGTTTGAATTGAGTGTTGAACTTGCATTTTGACCTATCCCCAGCTATCATGAAGGCTTTTAGCTTCACCTTGGAAGTCCCTCCAACTGAGTAGTTGTCTGGACCCACATCTGCTCCTCTCCTCGACCTTGTGTCCAATAGGCTCCGTCTCCACTCCCTTGAGATTGAAATGAAGTCTATCTGGTTTTCGGTGTGCCCATCTGCTGAAATCCATATCACCTTGTGTTTATCCTTGTGTTTGAACGCACTGCCACTGATAACTAAATCATTGAAAGCGCATAAGTCTGAGAAGAGTTCACCATTGTTGTTCATTTCACCGAGAGCCTCACCACCTATGGTGAGTTCTCTTCCAGTATTGTCTCATCCCAGTTTCGCACTCATATCACATATCAGGATTCTGATATCACCATTCGAGACGTTGTCCATTAATGTTTGTAGATATCTGTAGAAATCCTTGTTCTCTTGTTCTGAGACGTTTGTAGGCGCATAGCATTGAATGAATGTAACGTTCCTTCCTTCCTTTTGAGTTGAACCTAGCTTTCATTACCCTGGAGGATATTGGTTCCCGCAACATGATAGCTTCGGCTGTTGTGGGTGATATCATGATGGCCACTCTCCCGGTGTGCTAGTGGTTGTCCTCTGGGTTGGCACCTTCCACATCCGTTCCATCTTCTCTCGCAGATCCCCAAAATATTTGTTCCATATCTCCTCATTTCTGCGGCTACCTGTGCAAAATTTCCAGCATCGTACATTGTACGAATTCATGCTTTCCTAATTTTTTATCTCATGGATTGATGAATGTTTGCTGAACAGTTTAGTGGAATCAGCCGGTCGCTAATAATGAAAGGCAACGGTTTCTGTCGTCACCTCAATGACGCGTCATAGGATGTTGTATAACTCGATAAAAGTGTGTTGGACGATTACCTCCTGCAAATGATTAGAACGACTCCTATTCGGACAACGATATGTAGGTGAGTGTGTTTGTGTATGGCCGAATGTCTACTGATATGTGAATCTGTGTGATGTTTGATGACATTGAGCGAGTTCATTGTGTTTTGTTCAGAATATCATACACCTTTGTGGCATGACGGCCGAATTCTTGCGAATCATGCGTGTGATCTGCGTACGACCCCCAGTCGACACACTCCTAAATCTCACTAGTCTGGTGTTGAGATTGGTGAATAAGGAGGGAAGTATTTGCATGATCGTAACAACTTCACCCACTGAGAATACGTACCATTGCTAGTGAATCTTCTGAGCACCAGCTTGAAGCCCTCTGTTTCACTAGGAACGTAAAAGTCTCATACAAAAGAAAGAAATGTAGTGTGCTTTGATGGACATTTGCCACCGTTAGTGGTGTGTCAACTGTGTGGTATCAGGTATGGATTTTTGATTCTCACAATTATCGCTTGTATCACGACAATCCAGGTTCTTCTTCAAGAGTCTACTGCATCAAAACTGGACACCGAGGTGGCCAGAATCACACTGAAAGTCTCTCGTCTGCAGTACAAAAGCAATTTCAAGGAAAGATATTGGTACTCACCTCTCGAAATGGAATCCTCTTCATCAACATCTTCACTGATTATGTGTTCTGAAAGGGAGACAGAATTCAAGTTGTCAACAGTGACTCATTTACATTTCGAGGAGAACGATGTTCATCACCTCAGCATCCTGGAAGTCACAATACTGTCATTAACTCCTCAATTACCCAACTCCAAGCCTTCCCTTAAGCTTAGATTATTCGCCATTGATATTTACTGGTCTTTAATCTCCTGTCACTTTTCATACTTGATGATTTTACCTGTTGCATGTGTGGAACTCCTTCTGCTGTTCCATTTTACTCTCGCTTTCATACCTGTTTCTTTACAAATCTCTCTTCCTCTAGAGTGGCGTTTCTAAAACCGTTTTGTTCGGTTACAGGATTTCATCGTCTCAACTGACTTCGGTCAGAGTACCGTTGGAAAAGCGACAGTGAGCACTGAACAGCCAGCTGTTGCGTCTTCGTAGTTTAGGACGTATTTGCAGTACGCCCCCACAACCAGGGTTCTAGTCCAATACCTTCCGCTAACAACGTGGTCTTGTAGACCATGAAGCCACTAGTACGTCTTTCAATGGCCCATAAACTCCGACTTGAAGAGGAAATCCTGTAACCAAACAAATCCCTGCAATTCAACACTTCACAGTTTCATTTCCTTCTTCGCGTACGACTTCATATTCAATTACTGATTACACTGCTTCCGTCAATGATTCTTAGTACTATTATTATTATTATTATTGTGAATTTTTCAAAATATACTCTACATAACACTTGTAAGTAGCTTACCCAACTTCGGTAGAGAGAATCTGTTTCCATGTGAGGTAGCAAAGATCAACTGATTTTCTGCCTCATTTCTCAGGGAATACTTCTTCTCATTACTCTGTAAGATGATCATTTCAAGTGGTTGATTCTCCTGTCCACTGAAGATAACCGTAACGTCATCTCTTTTACAGAAGGCGGACTCTTGTTCCCATGTCACATTTCGAAGCTTTCCAGACTGTAGTTGGACGTTTTTGATCCTCGGAACTGGTGAAACAATTGAAGAGAAATGCAATTACCGATTTTACATATTACTACTTATAATTTCTTACATAATATGGTGGCATAACAGTTGGCAGTGGAGGTAATAAGGCGACTGCAGAGATCACCCTATTCCTTCTTGAAATGGTACTTTAGACGAATTGATTACATCAATTAGTCATGTAATTCAGTGACCGCAACTCACTCAGCAAATCTCAACCCTTATAAACTGCAACCCATTTTGTTTTTGAGTTGCTATGTGAACCTTCAAGCTAACACTGATTGTTAATTTTCTCTGCTTTCCGTCTTATCTCTCCTCACTCTTTTCTTCTTTGAAAGCGTACAAATTGGTGATGGAAACTAAAAATAAATATGGTAGGCTAGCTGGCCAGTTAGCCAACAAGGAATCTGGTGTTATCAACTCAGTCGACTTCCTGAGCACAGTCACACCAAGTCTTTCTCTTTCACTCATGTCAACTAGGAAAACGGATAACTCGGTCGTGATCACATACCAAGGAGGTCGTCGAATGGAATCTGAGTGAAAGGCGATGGATTCTCTCATGAGACACTTCAGTGCTCTTCACCACTAACGACTACATCGAAGCTTGAAATCAGCTATCTCAGTATTTCAGTGGAATTCGCCACTGTGGTAGAATACTATTTGACGTAAAACACATCGTTTGATAGAGTGTCAATAACTGGGTAACAGTTGGTGCTCCAAATCAGGACTTTCAGCTTACGAGGTTACCACTTTTATCAGTCAGTCATCGCACTGAAATCCTACCACCTCTTACTATGCACAAAATGAGACTACCGTGAGGAAAAGACATAAGAGTAAGCCGTGTTCAACAGACTCGCTCTATGATGAGACAGCTAGCTGTCCAATGGCGTTTGCATTTCAACGATTCTCTCAGCTTGCTACCGAAATCTACATTCAGGTCATCGACAACCTACCAACAATCACGTCTACAAAAGCAAATTCATTCGTAATGGGAATACACGTACTCAACTAAATGACGCAAATTATTTACTATTTATATTTTTGTTGTTCCTCTGGCTTCCGAGCTGAATATACGCTTTACTCAACACATATCTACTTCGGCCTATTCTCTGTTGCCCTCTCTAGTTGGGTCCATGATCGCACATAATCTCTCATCTCGTGAAATTCACACCATCCGCTCCATGTTGCCCTCCAACCTGGGTTCCAATCAGCGATGGACTGCAATAAGCGTGATATCGTTCAACAGTCTCCTTATCGTTTTCTCAATTCATCTCAATATTCTCCTCCATATTTTCTGAACTATAGGTTCTTCGTTAGTCTGTTCCCAGAGTTTCGTATCATCGATTCTTTCTAGCTGAGCATTGGATCTTCAGCATGCAGGCAACGAAGGTAGCTGTCGATAAGCGTCTGCAACAGGCTGTTGGAAATGTGATTCTTCATCAGTTCCAACCGACCGTGGTTGAGGCAAGGCCATCTGGACAAGTGGGGAGAGTGACTGACCCCGTTGAAAACCCTCCCTTTCATACTGATTCATGCTTCTTGTTGTTGTCGCTGATGTTGTGGCTGTTGTTGATCACAGGGTATCTTCATCACCTGTGTCTTCTCTTTGTCTACCTGGAGTTCACCACCTGATTGTTCAGTCAGTTTGTTGGCTGTCTTCTGCAAGACTTCGAGTTTTACTCTGTGTGACATAAAGGATAAATCATCAACGTGCAAAATCCAGACCCTTTAGATTTCCTTATTCGTCTAGTAAGCTCCTATATTATCACTTCTCACAGTCTGATGCATAATCTAATCCACAACTAATAGGCTTACCGTTGGGGAATAAAGGCGGACAGGCTTCTCTTACCTCAGTGTTCACTTCAAAGTCAGACTACGTCTTTTCTATGTCCACCTGGAATTCGCCATCTCAGTGTTCAACCAGTTTGTTGGTTGTCGTCTTTAAGTCTTCAAGTTTCACTGTGTGTGACATGAAGCATAAATCGTCCACGACACCTGGCATCGTCATATAGCCAAATGTTGAATGAGGCTGATAAAGATTTGGGACAATGCACGCCGTAGTGTTGAAGCAGTTTCCAAATTACCTCTCAGTCAATGATGCATTGTCGAAGGCCTGTCCGACTTGGATGTAGTTGTTGAGGTAGAAGTGGAGGTGGAGGTTTCACTACTATTCTATTCCTCGTTCAAATTGTCGCACATCTGCTTTCCATGAAAAATTAAAGCTTAATTGATAAATCAAATTACATATACTCAGTGACGTGTGTACAGTATTCATGTGTATGCGTGTGCGTATTCGTGCAGTTAATGAAGGAGTGGGAGTGACTTGGTCTATTCTACTCTGCAAAACAGGCATCCATCTCTGCCAACTTACCTCTTTTGTAATTAAGTCTATGTTCTCCTAACGTAGGTGACAACCATTTGCCTGTTCTCCCTGAGACATAATATGCTGAATCCGTACATGCTTCTCCAATAGCATTCAATGAAGCAGACGTTGTATCCACACTGAGTATGATAGAAGTCTTTGAAAGCAAACTGATATATAATTGCAGCTCTAAGTCTTTGATACCCGAAGGACTGAAGGGAATCCAAGAAAAGCCTAAATGTGTATTGCTTTCTTGAAGGAGCCAAAATTTTCTTTCGTCTGTATTTGGTAAATTAAAATAGACAAAACAACGATGGAAATATTCATGATAAGATGTAAGTGAAAATTTGAAGCGAAGTTGGTGATGTGATGAGAAAGGTAAACATTTCAGGTTTAACGACGAGTTGACCCCAATAAATATTAGAACCGTTGGGAATCAAGAGGATGCAGTGTACGCCAGTTGTTTCGTCCTCGATGATTGAGACACTTTGGGATTATGCATCAGCCATCAGGTGTCGAATCATGGAACCTTAGTGTTACAAGTCTAGTGAGCTCGATGACCATTCGGCCATTGAGATCTGTTTCAAGTCAGGTATGTGATTGGCAGCACGCACCTATCACCAGGGTGCGTGCGCGCCCACAGAATCAGCGCCTACACCAAATCAAATATGTGATCAAGATGATGGATAGAATCCCAGCGCCTGAACGGTCTACGAGATCGCTAGCCTGGTAGGCAGAATCCTAGTGGTTGCTGCTTATTTCTGAAGACCTGCAAACAACAGGGATGAAACAGCTGGCATTTCTATACTACAAGATGATTTCCTCTCATGTTCCTCTGATGTTCCTCTAATTGATGTCATCAAATCCTTGCCATTCAACACTTTATAAATAAAAATCAAGTGGAGAATTCCTCTAAATCTACATAGGTGTATAACTTGGTCACTGTCGTATTATGTGATTCCATATTAATTTGTTATCAGATATATGACACATACAGTAAGACAGTATTATTTACTGGAAGACAGAGTTTACAACACAACACGCGAATAATCATGATCACATCAATTAGGACTACACAAATTCCAAACTTTAGTTGTATTCGTCACTCTGATTCTTCGGAAATCGTATGTATCGGGCTCTCAACAAGGCAGGAATAAAAGTGACATTCGAGCCCCTCCCCATCTCACACCCGTAAACTCACTCAGAAACAAATTATGTCGTCCACAGTCCTAAGAGACGATACGGCTCTATAAACCAAGTAGTTTTGTTTAAATAATTACCTGTCATGATTTCCACGTCAAATACATAGATCTCATTAGTGGAAAGGCGTCAGCCAGACTAGAGGGGTATAAAAGCATGAAAACATCTGGATTACTTGAGCCTGATACTTCATAAACCACGGAAATAGCTCAGCCCATCCAGAGAGGAAAACAGGAAATCTGGATACACCACCATGCAGAATATTAACACACACACCCAGTGATCATACACGCAACCACAATATCAATTAACCAATCGATCACAACAGGAACTGTATTTAGACATGGTTTATTAGGGTTCAAACACACTGTGACACTCCGGTGCTGAAGAGAACAGAAGAGAAATACCTGTCAACTGTCTTCAAGAAAAATGAATACTCATTCAAATTCATCGAAAGATATTTAGACTGGAATCAAAATATCTATAACTACGGAATACACACGAGGAATATTTCTGAAACACTTGGAGATAAACACTGGAGGAACAGTCGAAAATGACAGGATCATATATCAAATCAATTTCCTGATTTGTCGACCTCATCATTCGAATCACAATTGCGAAATCAGTGTCAAATATCGACGTTAGTGTAGGCGATCAACCTTCGTGATTATAGGAAGTTTGCTAATCTCCGAGAAGAGTAAAGGCTGAAGGATGTCGGCATAGAATATGATGATTGAAAGTATCTACCACCACTGTGCTTATTTTACAAGTGAATGTAATATCGGATACTTTTAGCCCATCTGGATGATTTTGTTGTAGTTGTGGTCTCTGAGCTGGATGTCTTGTCTTACTGGACAACATCGCCAGCATAAACTTCAATTTGAAGTGAGTTTCGAAATTCTCTACGAGTTTATTAGTCATCTCTCCTGGTTACCTTGGTTGTCATCGATTATTTCCGACTATTTGCTTACCCTCCAGTCCACTTGTATTCGAACTGATTGCTTCCTTGATCAGAAAAGTGATCTTTGTTCCATGTGATCGCCTTCTTTATGCATTCGTAAATTTCGCCTACGTGAATATGCCTGCTGATTGTTGAACCCCTTGAGTATCAGCCCTCCGGAAATTCTCTGGTCTATTCGTGTTTCCCCTTGTCTGAAGATGATCTTCAACCGTATAGTCGCAATCGATCCATCCGTAGATGTGTTTATGCAATGACATGTGGCAGTGAATACTGTGTCTATTCACGGCTAATTCATGTTCATGGATGCGAAGACGAAGAGTGACCATCCACTTTGGTCAATGCATTGTTCACAGAGTCACTTCAATTTATTTTGTAGATGGCGTCAGTTTGTCTCTTCTCACTGTCGAGCCTTCTGCTTAGCATAGAGTAGAAATGACTAGACACCGTCGGACGTGATCAGAATAAGACAATTATTTGGTGGATGATGGTCAGCAGTGGAATCGACATTGCACCTCCATAAATCCCACTGACTAGTTGTAGCACATCAACAACGACATGAATCATTTTATTTCAAGAAAATAATTCAACGAATATGAATGTGTGGAAAAAGCAAATCAATAATATATTCAGATTCCATGAACAACTTACTTCCATCTTCATTTTTCGCTAAATAGGCCAGTTCATATTCTCCAGAAATTCCTTGTGGCGAGACTGTTACTACAATGAATAAGGAAAACAATTAGCACAGGTACAATGTGAATACGGACTTGAGACTCACAATAAAAATGGAATTAGGGTGGCATCTAAAGAAACCTACCTTCCTAACAACTAACCATCCAGCGAACTAACCAACGAACTTAATCGGAGACATACTCTTCCAGATTATAGTCCCCAATGATCCAATTACGCAAAAACAACAAAAATTATCAAATCTCATGTAGTGACGATAACTTAGAGGAGTTACACAGGTCAAACCAGCTGATACGGATCAGTCACATTATGAGAAGATATGAATTCAGGGTTAGGACTAGAATTATTTATCCCACTAAGTGGAGTAATCTAAATTAAATTTGTTCGCCGTGTTCTACAAATACGATATATCAGTGGTATATGCGGAGACGTTCATTGGCATAAAAATATCAAATGACAGCGAGAAACATCCGTCGTCAGGCAAAGAAAATGCGTCAGCGATGCGGAGACACATTGAAGACGTGAATGAGACACAAGGAAATAAAATATGGAGGACAGAATTAGCACAACACGGAAGATCTGTGCACATGGTGATTTGAAGATAAGGTGTACACAATTCCCATGTACAGTGATACCAAATACCGAAAAAATATTCATTTACGAATCTCCTATCACTTACTTCTAGAATTGGTTTCGCTGCCAGGACCATAGACAACACATGGATATTGGTGGCCTAGCAAAGGTGGTCACGCACTAGATGATCACAATGTAGGCTGCAATTGAGACAAGGAATTTCGCAGAACTAACAAGAGCGGCAGTCTCACTAATACATAGCAATCTATGTCAAACTGTGTTCATTGACAATTCAAATACCAGGTGGACACGTGTTTGACAGCACAGGAATGTCAAACTATGGCGTTTTTATTGGCGATAGCGAAGTAACCTTCTTCTTCATTGTTGTGCACGAGTGATCGTGAACAATACTCTGTACCGAATCTCTGTGAGAGATTAGTGCGACAGCTACCACGAATGAGGAGGCAGTGATTACGAAGTACGGACCTATCAGGATGTATGAGATGAGAGAGATAGCAGGTGTGAAAGCATAGAAAGCGCAGAACACGACAGTGTTAGTAAGAGGATTTGATCCTCTGTTCACTGGAGACGGTAATTCCCATGGTTGTTGTGATGAGGTGAGGCATGTAATCCTACTGGGATTTTGGAAAATGGCGCCATTCACACGGCGAAGAGTCTTATTTCATTTGGAAGATGGAGTCGAGATACAAGTGAATTATATGTAACAGAATGATATTATTGAAGAAGCTGACAGTCTGTATCAGTCTCCAGTTCTTTTAGTGAAGAAAGAAAATGGGAATTGCAACAAACCTACGACAAGTAGGCAGCTGACCACACTACTAAGAAAGAAAGATAGATGAAGAGTGAACGCTTTCGGATCTATGAGTCGGTGAGAAATGGTGGAATCTGGTTGGAGGTAATATCTCAGTCTCTACGCCATGAAATGACACCATGATGTCACCAGATAGCACATACAGGAGTAGCCAGGACAACCAACTATTGGGACTGCCCATGTATGAGAGAAGGTGTATCAAAATATATACGTGTACGTTCGCAGTGCCAGTTGATGAAAGGAGATTGGTGCATAAGACCAACTCTGCAGTGAACTCCAGTTATGGCAGTAGGAGAGCTGTGATCCTTAGTTGTGAATCGACCTCAACCGAGGACATCCAGCGGGGATCGGTCCATGCGTCGGTGGCACAGTGGTTAGGACTCGCGCCGTCCATGCACATGTCCCTAGGTTCTGTTGTGCTGTTGGTAAAAAAAGCGAATGGGATGTACAGATTCTGTGTTGATTTTCGACAGTTAAACAGTATGACAGAGTTAAGACCGTTTGCCATGCCAACAGTGGTAGAAACTTTAGATCGCCTATAAGGTGCAAATGTGTTTTCGGTCCTCGATCGTCGTTCAGAATACTGGTAGATACAGATAAAACAAGGTGATAGAGATAAGACGGCATTCATCGTAGGTCAGACACAATATCGATTCAAACTCATGCCGTCTGGACTAGCAGGTGCACCGTTTACGTTCAGACGACTGATGAAGCTATTACTTAGGAACTTGAAAAACGTGGAGATGTATGGTGATGACCTCGTCATATACAGTCAAAAGGAAAACGATCATGTGAAGCATGTAGAAGCTAGCTGCGACTCATCGAAGAGTTTGGACTGCACGTCAACAAAACCAAGTCCCAGATAGCTAAAAGGAATGTTACTCTGTTGAGACATAAAGTAGGGAATGGTGCGATTAAACCACTACCGGAGAAAATTTTGACGATTAAAACGATTTCAGCTCCGAATTCAAAGAGAAAACTGTGACAATTCTTGGGTAGAGCAGCGTTTTATAGTCGCTTTGTGAAGAACTTCAATAAGATAGCAGCCCCTTTGTACAGGCTACTAGGTGAGCCGAAGTTTGTTTGGTCGGAGGAATCGCAGAGGACATTCGACAGAATTAAACAGCTGCTCGACCACCAACAAATGATGCTAAAACTACCTGTACTTGGAAGACAGTTCACAGTGTGTACAGATGCCAGTGACTACGCTATAGGTGCGGTCCTAAGACAGTGTGAGGGAATCGTTGAGTATGCCAGTCGGGTTTTGACACACACAGAGAGAAAGTATTCAACGATAGAGAAAGGATGTTTAGCAATGGTATGGGCAGTCGACAAATGGAGACCTTATTTACTCGGCCGGCGGTTCCACATCAAAACTGATCATAAGCCGCTACAGGTTTTGAAGACAGCGAGAGACCCACGGGGAAAATTGTCACGGTGGATGTTGCGTCTTCAGGAGTACGATTTTACGATCTCACACATTCCTGGAAGTGAAAATGTCTTGGCAGATTTGTTATCGAGACCAGAAGACGAGTCCGAGTTGCCCGAGGTCGCTTACGGAGTGCATGCAGTAGAAAAAGATCCAATAAGACTTGCACGTAGGCAGAGGTTGGACGATACGCTGGATACAGAAATACAGGTGATCACCAACGGAATATAAGTGGATCAAGCTACGGCAAGTAAGGAGCTAACCACACTACTCAGGCAGAGAGATCGACTAAGAGTGAATGCCTACGGGACTCTGACCTGGCGAGAGAACGACGGCAGCTGGCTGGCTGTCACACCTCAATCGTCGCGCCACGACATGATAGAAGAATGTCACCAGTTGTCTGTCTGTTTGTCTGCCACACTCCGTGTAGCACATGAAGCAAGAGAAGAAAGTAGAAGAAATGCATAATAGAGACAGTATACAGAGGTGTGAGACAAAGGAATAGTAGTAACGAAGAACAAAACAGTTTCATTGCAAATCATAAGTCACAAGGAGTGGATACATCTGCGCCACTGAGAACGATTTTGAACCATGTCACCAATTGTTTCCAACCACTGGTTTTTACCGTCCCGAGGACCCCAATCAGTCAGGAAGTCTACACCTTCCTACGTGGCTTAGACCAACTGTTGTGGATTTCATTGACTGGTGCCAAGTTTTTGTTTGACCGCCGCTAGCTTTTTTCCAGCCTGACCCTATATCCGCTAACATTGCTCGTCGAGGGAGGCGATGGCTTGGCATGCGTAACACATGTCCTAACCATCTCAGTCTTTGCAACTTCTAGACTTCGTCGATTGATTTCCCCTGTTTACTTAGAACTCTACGCCTAACCTCCATGTTGCTCACCTTATTATGCCACTTTACACGGGAGATAGAACGCAGGCACATATGATCTAAGACAGCTAATCTTGTCATGTCTTCCACTCTCAGTGGCCAGGTCTCGCTCACAGCCATAAAGGAGGATGGAGGGGACTGATGAGCAGTACACCCGCCCTTTGGTCGATAGTTGGATATCTTGTCTGCGCCAGAGACGGCGTAAACTGGCAAACTCGAGACGAGCCCCTTGTATTCCTGCTGAGATTTCGTCAGAGGTCAACCCGTTGGCGTTGGCTGATGGTACTTCCCAAATAAGTGAAGCGGTCAACGTGCTCTACCACTTCACTTCCTATTTTTAAACTAGGCGTCGATGTAGTTCAGTCCTGTAACATCATCTTTCATTTGGCAACAGTAGCGAATCGTATGCCAAACATTCATAGATTGCGGCTCAAGGTGTTTAGAAGACTCTGCATTTTGTCAGAGTCATCGCCTAGGAGGACTATATCGTCTGCATATTCTAAGTCGACGAGATTATTCCTTGGTAGCAAGTTAAACCCTGATTCGCTGAAGTCACTTAGGGTTAAGTCGATTAACACATCTATGATGAAATTGAATAGAAAAGGGGATAATGGGCATCCTTGACAGACACCACTAGTCGTCACCAGTTCAGATGACAGCTCGCCGTAAGCCCTCACCTGGCTGTATGAGTACGAGTAGAGTGTCTTAATCAGTGCAATATATTTTCTCGGAATTCCCTTTACAGCCAAGCATCTCCAAAGAACTTCTTGATCAACAGATTCAAATGCTGCCTTTAGGTCAAGAAATATAATGACTGTTGGAGACCAATAGGAATGCCTATGTTCTAGAACCTGTCGGAGGGTGAAGATATGATCAATACACCCTCTTCCTGGTCTGAAGCCTGCCTGGCTCTCTCGTGTTTGTGCCTCCCGAGCACCACTCAGTCTACGTGCGATTATTGAGCCTAAGACTTTCGATACTATATTAGTCAAGCTAATCCCTCTGTGATTATCACAGGAAGACTTGTCTCCCTTCTTGTATATGGGGATAATCAGTGACTAACACCAACCCGATGGGACTTCTTCTGATTTCCAGACGCTGCCTAGTACCTCAGTTAATGCAGACAGTGAACTGTCTCCACCATACTTAAATACCTCTGGAGTCATTCCATCAGGTCCCGCTGTTTCGCCTAGTTTCAGATTGGTGACAGCTTTAGTAACCGCATTTAGGGAAGGAGGACCTGTGTCTATATCCCATTCAGGGAGGTGTTGAATTTTCGGGAGGTTGAGAGTGGCTATGGGCCAATTAAACAGTTCCTCATAATGCTCTTTCCAGCGATCCAGTCGTCTATCCTGGGAGCTAATTATAGTGCCATTTTTTTCCGAGATTGTTTCACTAATGATGTGTCTTCTCCCACCCGTTTCCCTGATGAGTCTAAATAGTTGCATATCCCCGAAGCTTTCTCCATCTCTTTCGCTTTTGTCACCCACCACTGTTCACGGTCCTTGCGGAGACTTTTCGTAAGTTTCCTTTTGTGCAGCTTTCGCTCCTCAGTGAATTCGGAGCTCGCCGGAATAAGTCGTCTTGCATCTATCATTTCGGATGAGGCAGTCGAAATCCGATAGTATTTACTCACCTTTGGATTTACCTTATTCACAGCTCTTACAGCTGTATCTATGGCTGCCTGAATATTCTTCCAAGCTTCCTCAGGGTGAGCACAGCTGTCGAACTCAGATGTGTTTAGCTAGTTCTTCCTCAAATACGGATTTAGTTTCTTGATCGAGCTGGGGACGTGATGGGTTTACCGCCAGCTGTTTCCTACGTCCGTTTAGTCGTGAGCACACCCGAGCGCGAACCAGTGCGTGATCGGTATCTACACACGTGTTCCAGAAGGAGCGACAATCTCCTACCGACCCACGCCAACGATAGCTTATTGCTGTGTGGTCTATTTGTGTCCAGCGTTGGTTTGATGAAGGGGGTCACCAGGTAAAATAGTGTCTGTCCTTGTGTGCTTACAAGAAAAAAATGATTATCTGAACATAACTGTAGGAGACGGTCACCGTTGTCGGTTCGCTGGTACAGAACTCCACAGGTGCCACCAACATCCTGAGCGTTTAGCCTTTCGCAGCAAACTAGACAGCGTTTGGTAAAACTCATCCTTCGTTTCATCTGAACTGCAGTCAGTGGGGGTGTAGGCGGAGATTACGAAAAGGCATCGGCGAGTAGTGCAGTCCTTTCTACTTTTTACTGATCCGTTCAGATGGACAGCACACATTCGGCTATCTACTGGGAACCAGTCAAGCAATGTCTTTTCTGCCCTAGTACTCAGAGCTATCCCTACGCCAGCTAATCCTCGTGAACTGCCTGTGGCATCTCCTGGCACCCTCAGGGTGAATTTTGCGGATTCATCCTGTTGGCCAGGTGGTGTTAGGTGAATAACCACACTTGGGTCTTGTATGCGTGTTTCTGAAACACAGCATATATCAATGGCTCGGGATGCCACGGTCTTGGCTAGTGATGCTTGTTTTCCTATTTGGCAAAGTGTCCTAACATTACAAGCTCCTATACGAAATTGGTGGCGTGGCTTTAGGAGGCTGTCGGTGGTGGTTTTTTGTCACCAGCTAGCGCATACCGGCGTGATCAGAACAACCGACCTCCAAATACAATTATGTACTGGCCAGGTATGAGAGAAGACGTAGCAAGATACGTACTTGGATGTCCACGGTGCCAGCTTATGAAAGGTGACTGGTGTATACGACCATCACTTCAGTCGATTCCAGTTACCGCGATAGGTGACTTGTGGTCCGTAGATGTCATGGGTCTATTTCCTCAGACATCCAATGGTAATCAGTACCTCTTGGTGATGACGGAACACGCGACACGATGGGTAGACGCCGTAGCAGTCCCAGACCAACGTGCAAGGACCGTGACAGATGCAGTAGTTAGACACATTTTTGCAGACCACGGCGTACCAAGGCAATACTGACAGACCAAGGTCCCTGTTTCGAGAGTGAAGAATTTACTTCTCGTTCGCAACAGCTGGGCATCAAGAGAATCAGAACGACCCCATATCATCCACAAACGAATGGCCTAACGGAGAGGAACAACCGTACACTGACGGAGTGGCTGGCCTCGAAGGGCGGGAACTGGGAAACGGAACTTCCACTGATTTTACTGACACATCGTGCTACCACTCAGGAAACAACGAAGAAGTCACCCTTCCAACTAGTGTATGGTAGAAAACCACGATTACCGATACACAACGAGGCCTGGCCCCTTCACCAAAAATGGAGTACGACGAAATTAAAAGCAGAGCGGAAAGAAGCAGTCAAGAATGTAATGCAGAAGCAGCGGAGTGATGTCGCGAAGTCTCAGCTGAAAAGAAAGACTCAATGCAATACCTTTGCAGTCGGGGACCAAATGAAGTGTAGAGACAAAAGATATAGAGCTGGATGCGCGCCAGGTTCACGGAAACTCCTTCCAAAATGGGAATGACCATACACAATCACAAAAAGACGAAGTCAAGTATATACCATCCGAAGAGGTGATAAACAGAAACGAGTTAACGCCAGTCAGCTCCAAAGATGGGTAAAGTGGGACAAGCTGGTCAGTAACAATCCTCAACTAGAGGATGTAGCACCCAGAAGGTCGGAACGTCTGCGCACTAAACTATTTGACGTGGCGACGAGTGCGGTGAGAGCAGGCTGCTAGCCTATTGGTTGACATTAATCTACGTAAATGTCTAGGTCACTAATATGGGGCGTGAGAAAATATGAACAAGGCTGTTTCAACAGCCAATCACAGCAAACTTAAACGTGGGCAAATACGATTCGCAGATAGATGGCTCTACTCCACTTTCCGAGGAACTCGAAAACAACCAATCAGAAGACTGCGTTGTGTACTTGACTAGGCTGCAATAATGTATGTAAAATTTATAATAAAAACGTATTGATTTCCGCAATAAAATGATCCGTTGCCAGCCCTTGTCTTCTGTTGTTACAATACCAGAACGTGGAAAATGATGAGAAGGATAAGTGGAAATCAATAATCCCAGAGAAAGAAAATCATATAAGATTTTAAAACACGTAGAAAAACATACCGCAGGAAACATATTTTACCAGATAACAGAGTTTACAACACATTCGTTGGATAATCCTCATCATCACAATAAGGAATATACATATACGAAATTTAAAAAAAATTTGACGAAATAAGGAGTATCCAATCTAAGATGACGATAGGAAAACGAGAAAAAAAACTGACATTACAGACCGAGAGCGTGTATCAACGGATGTGGACAGTCATATGGAAGTGTGCTATTTGTGGTGATATCGACTGAGTGGATGATGTGTTTCCCTAGGTCGACTGGATGGAGAGGTGACGCAGTGAGTTGACAGGCGACTGTGTGTGATGAGGAATGAAATTGTGACTGTGATTTGGTTGGTGGGTCCGACAGTCTGTTGGTCGATCGCCAACAACACATGCTCACTGAGACTGCAATACATTCACCGAGATTCTACCACATGACTGCAGGATAGACAGAGGATAGTCACGAAGACAGGCGGACAGACAGATAGACAGACAGACAGACAGACGCTCAGACACACAGTTAGACAGACAGACAAACATGCAGAGAGACAGACACACTGACTCACTGACAGCCAACACCCACCAACACACACCAACACACGCAGACACACCAACACTGACCCTCTTCAGTCGGATCGAAAAAAGCAATGTAATAATAATAATTCTTCCTTCACGTTCCCATTGGAACTTAGAGCTCCAAGCTAGTGGCTTGGACATACTGTAGCAGTGTTTAATTTTTACAGGATGGGGTTGCTAGCCCTATGCCCAACCTTTCCTTTTTACCAGCATTGTTTCTTGCTCAGTGAGGTAAAGGAGTGCGCCGGCCGGGGGTCGAACCTCGGACCATATGCATGTTCGGCGAGCGTCCTAACCGCTATTCCACGCACTTCAGAAACACAACAACAACAGAAATGTGCACGACAAAATTGTGTAGAGACACTCACTCACCTGTCGAACTGGTAGTCTCTCCTCCAACCGCTTCACTGCTTGTCACTTCTGAAACGGAAAACCAATTCTCTTGTTAGCAATCACTTAAATTCTAATATTTTGAACTTCGCTTCCTGGTTTTTCTTCTGTTTACTGAAAACTCATCTAAGGTTTTCACATATTTACTTTATTGCTATTTACGTTTTTACACTGTCAGTCTTTTTTATCATTTATTTAATCTTTTAGCAGGTTTTTCCAACGAGTATGAATAAATTCTGCAATATTTGCATTTTTGTTCTTGAAACTGTTCTCTATCATAAGATTTGATAGTGTGAAATATTCCCATATTATGAATTAAAAGTCAATCTGAACGAAGTATATTCTTTTCAATAATTTCTCTTCAGGTTCTTACAATTATAAAATATAATATTTGTGGTCGTTACAATAAAGATAGCCAGGTATGCGGCGGATACATTTTTTAACGTAGAATAACAGATTAGTTATGGGGTGTCAAAATAAATAGTCATATTTGTGTGACAAACGTGCTAGGCTGAAATCGATTAGAAATATTGTAAAACGGGAGACAATAGTGGTGGTTAATCATAATGGAATTGTAGAGTGTGGGGTAGGAAAATTGACAAATCAGTTCAAGGTTATAAAAGGTGTCAGGTGAGTGGCTAGTACAAAGTGGTCTGAGTTAAGCAGGAGATTAGTCAGATTGACACTGATGTACAATTCGAGAACTTCTATATACAAACAGGGGACTTGGTCGCCTCTTCTGATGAGGACCTAGAAAGATTCAAATCAACCCTGGTAGACTGTTGCTATCAGTATAGACAGAAAGATAAGAATAAGCCCCATAGTATACTCACAAAACAGCACCGAGAAGCTGTCAAAAGACTAAGACAAAATGAAAACATAGTTATTACCAGACCGGATAAGGGGCCGGGGATAGTAATTATGGATAAGCAGGACTACATCAATAAGATGAACTCCTTACTAGCTGACAGAAGCAAGTTTCAGAAGCCGAAAGCGATGAAAGATCATACGGAGAAAATAGAGAAAGAAATAACAAACTTATTAAAGGATTTGAAGGGTAAAGGCAATTTATCACCAAAAACTTTCGAAAACATAAAACCTACAGGGAGTACCATCTCACGTATGTAGAGTTTACCGAAAGTGCATAAATCAGGAGTGCTACTACGCCCCATACTAGACATGTCCCATTCACCCTATCACGAGACGGCAAAGTGGCTGGTACAGCTGCTTCAACCCTTGCATGACGAGTTAATAAAGCACAGCGTCAAGGATACCTTTCAATTTGTTGATAAGATAAAAACCTTGAACGCGAATGGCAAATATATGGCATCACTTGATGTTTCATCTCTATTTACGAATGTGGCTCTAGTGGAAACAATCGATTATATCTGTGAACAGATTATAGAAAAGAAATTGTGCACTGATATTCCTATCAGTAATCTGAAACAACTACTTGTTAAATGCACAACGAATGTTCAGTTCCTATTTAATAATGAAATATACAGACAGGTTGATGGAGTAGCCATGGGATCCCCACTGCGACCTATTTTTGCGAATATATTTCTAGCAAAACTAGAAAATAGTCCGTTGAAAGAGGAAATAGCAAAAATGGAAATGTATTGTCGTTACATGGATGACACTTTTGTAGTGTACGATGAAGGGTTAAATAGTGATTTGATTTTGAACAACTTCAATAATGCTCACCCAGCGGTCCATTTCACCTACGAAGGAGAATACAACGACTCTTTACACTTCCTCGACGTCCTACTAACGAGAAGAGAGGATGGTTCCATCAAAAGAACCATATTTAGAAAGCTAGAGACCAAAGCCCAGTATACACATTTCCTTAGCTTCGTACCGATGAAATACAAACGTAATCTAATCAGGTGCTTAGCATTTAGAGCGAGGTCTATTTGTTCTGAAGAGTGCGTAGAGAAAGAACTCCAGATCATCCGAGACATTCTAAGCGAGAACGGATATCCAGAGAAGTTCATTAAAGCCAACATAGGTTATAATAGCCGTAAACATGAACTGACAACTGTGGAGAAAAAGCCTCTGTTTTTACGTCTCCAATTCAAGGGAGATACTCCTGCGGAGATTCTATCCCAACGTTTAACCAGGGCGATCAAGAAAACTTTCTATTCTGCACGTCTGTGTCTATCCTTCACTAGCCGTCCAATGTTCACCCAGCAACTCAAAGATGCCTTACCTAACCTTAGCTCTTCTTCATGCATATACCATTTCAACTGTTCCTGTGGTTCAAGTTATATAGGGCGCACGATTAGGCAGGTTCGTCTACGGGTTCGAGAACACTTACCAGCTTGGTTCAGCAGGGGGGAAATTAAGTGCATAAAAAGCTCGATCCTGTCACACCTGGTCGATACTGGACATCGCATCGATGTCAACACAGCTTTCAGAGTTATATACCGAATTCCGAAGTCGTTATCACGTACAGTTCGCTTACGTCTCCTACACATAGCTGAAGCTGTTGCAATAAGATCGACTAAACCGGAACTGTGTATCCAAAAGGAACACGTCCAGACGCTGTTCCTACCGTGGCCAACCTTGGATTGAAGATTTTTCTTCTCACCAAGAGTACTTCTTCCCCTTAACCCTCTTGGTTTTTTTTCTTTTTAATTTGCTTATTATTATAAATATTATTATTACAGTTATTATTATTCGTCATAATTTATGCCCTTTATGCAAACATTCCCTCAATACTATCGAATTTTCATTTGTACGGACTTATTATTAGTGATATTATCTGTTTTCTCAATATATGCCTCCACCTGTTTCATTTAATATATTCGTTATCTCACTATGAACCTCTCATTCCAGTCTTACTATATCCTGCTTAACTCAGACCACTTTGTACTAGCCACTCACCTGACACCTTTTATAACCTTGAACTGATTTGTCAATTTTCCTACCCCACACTCTACAATTCCATTATGATTAACCACCACTATTGTCTCCCGTTTTACAATATTTCTAATCGATTTCAGCCTAGCACGTTTGTCACACAAATATGACTATTTATTTTGACACCCCATAACTAATCTGTTATTCTACGTTAAAAAATGTATCCGCCGCATACCTGGCTATCTTTATTGTAACGACCACAAATATTATATTTTATAATTGTAAGAACCTGAAGAGAAATTATTGAAAAGAATGTTCTCTATTATTTCGAATTATTTATAAAATTCATATGCAAGACATCAATGATTCCATTATATATCCATACGTCCATCCATACAGTTTTAACATTGTCATGGTTTTCACATTTTCGCTCATACCACATCCTTCATTACCTCTGGTTAATCAACTTATTTCTTCAATCTCCGTTGGATTCGATGAATTAATGCTGAAATGTTTAGTTGAACCATCCGGTCGCTTATAATGAAAGGCATATATCCCTGTGTTTGAATTGAGTGTTGAACTTGCATTTTGACCTATCCCCAGCTATCATGAAGGCTTTTAGCTTCACCTTGGAAGTCCCTCCAACTGAGTAGTTGTCTGGACCCACATCTGCTCCTCTCCTCGACCTTGTGTCCAATAGGCTCCGTCTCCACTCCCTTGAGATTGAAATGAAGTCTATCTGGTTTTCGGTGTGCCCATCTGCTGAAATCCATATCACCTTGTGTTTATCCTTGTGTTTGAACGCACTGCCACTGATAACTAAATCATTGAAAGCGCATAAGTCTGAGAAGAGTTCACCATTGTTGTTCATTTCACCGAGAGCCTCACCACCTATGGTGAGTTCTCTTCCAGTATTGTCTCATCCCAGTTTCGCACTCATATCACATATCAGGATTCTGATATCACCATTCGAGACGTTGTCCATTAATGTTTGTAGATATCTGTAGAAATCCTTGTTCTCTTGTTCTGAGACGTTTGTAGGCGCATAGCATTGAATGAATGTAACGTTCCTTCCTTCCTTTTGAGTTGAACCTAGCTTTCATTACCCTGGAGGATATTGGTTCCCGCAACATGATAGCTTCGGCTGTTGTGGGTGATATCATGATGGCCACTCTCCCGGTGTGCTAGTGGTTGTCCTCTGGGTTGGCACCTTCCACATCCGTTCCATCTTCTCTCGCAGATCCCCAAAATATTTGTTCCATATCTCCTCATTTCTGCGGCTACCTGTGCAAAATTTCCAGCATCGTACATTGTACGAATTCATGCTTTCCTAATTTTTTATCTCATGGATTGATGAATGTTTGCTGAACAGTTTAGTGGAATCAGCCGGTCGCTAATAATGAAAGGCAACGGTTTCTGTCGTCACCTCAATGACGCGTCATAGGATGTTGTATAACTCGATAAAAGTGTGTTGGACGATTACCTCCTGCAAATGATTAGAACGACTCCTATTCGGACAACGATATGTAGGTGAGTGTGTTTGTGTATGGCCGAATGTCTACTGATATGTGAATCTGTGTGATGTTTGATGACATTGAGCGAGTTCATTGTGTTTTGTTCAGAATATCATACACCTTTGTGGCATGACGGCCGAATTCTTGCGAATCATGCGTGTGATCTGCGTACGACCCCCAGTCGACACACTCCTAAATCTCACTAGTCTGGTGTTGAGATTGGTGAATAAGGAGGGAAGTATTTGCATGATCGTAACAACTTCACCCACTGAGAATACGTACCATTGCTAGTGAATCTTCTGAGCACCAGCTTGAAGCCCTCTGTTTCACTAGGAACGTAAAAGTCTCATACAAAAGAAAGAAATGTAGTGTGCTTTGATGGACATTTGCCACCGTTAGTGGTGTGTCAACTGTGTGGTATCAGGTATGGATTTTTGATTCTCACAATTATCGCTTGTATCACGACAATCCAGGTTCTTCTTCAAGAGTCTACTGCATCAAAACTGGACACCGAGGTGGCCAGAATCACACTGAAAGTCTCTCGTCTGCAGTACAAAAGCAATTTCAAGGAAAGATATTGGTACTCACCTCTCGAAATGGAATCCTCTTCATCAACATCTTCACTGATTATGTGTTCTGAAAGGGAGACAGAATTCAAGTTGTCAACAGTGACTCATTTACATTTCGAGGAGAACGATGTTCATCACCTCAGCATCCTGGAAGTCACAATACTGTCATTAACTCCTCAATTACCCAACTCCAAGCCTTCCCTTAAGCTTAGATTATTCGCCATTGATATTTACTGGTCTTTAATCTCCTGTCACTTTTCATACTTGATGATTTTACCTGTTGCATGTGTGGAACTCCTTCTGCTGTTCCATTTTACTCTCGCTTTCATACCTGTTTCTTTACAAATCTCTCTTCCTCTAGAGTGGCGTTTCTAAAACCGTTTTGTTCGGTTACAGGATTTCATCGTCTCAACTGACTTCGGTCAGAGTACCGTTGGAAAAGCGACAGTGAGCACTGAACAGCCAGCTGTTGCGTCTTCGTAGTTTAGGACGTATTTGCAGTACGCCCCCACAACCAGGGTTCTAGTCCAATACCTTCCGCTAACAACGTGGTCTTGTAGACCATGAAGCCATTAGTACGTCTTTCAATGGCCCATAAACTCCAACTTGAAGAGGAAATCCTGTAACCAAACAAATCCCTGCAATTCAACACTTCACAGTTTCATTTCCTTCTTCGCGTACGACTTCATATTCAATTACTGATTACACTGCTTCCGTCAATGATTCTTAGTACTATTATTATTATTATTATTGTGAATTTTTCAAAATATACTCTACATAACACTTGTAAGTAGCTTACCCAACTTCGGTAGAGAGAATCTGTTTCCATGTGAGGTAGCAAAGATCAACTGATTTTCTGCCTCATTTCTCAGGGAATACTTCTTCTCATTACTCTGTAAGATGATCATTTCAAGTGGTTGATTCTCCTGTCCACTGAAGATAACCGTAACGTCATCTCTTTTACAGAAGGCGGACTCTTGTTCCCATGTCACATTTCGAAGCTTTCCAGACTGTAGTTGGACGTTTTTGATCCTCGGAACTGGTGAAACAATTGAAGAGAAATGCAATTACCGATTTTACATATTACGACTCATAAATTCTTATATAATTTTGTAACTGCTGAAGACAAGGACCAGGTGACAGATCGTTTATTAAAGAAATCGACACATATTTATACATTTTCATGTACATGTTGTAACATTATGTTAGCAGAAAAACACAGTCTTCTGATTGGTTGTTTCTCACAGGAAGTAAGCCATGCATATCGTTGTGGCTGTTTCTTGAATGTCGTATCATGTATATGCTATCTGTATCCGCCTACAAAAAGGCTTTGTTCTCATTTTTCTCACGACCAATATTGGGGACACAAACATTGACGTAAATTACTGTCCACCAATTTCGACTGACAGCCAGCTCTCACCACAATATGATGATATGACAGTTGTTAGTGGAGTTAGTTAGGAGATTTCAGAGGTCACCTTATTCCTTCTAGTAATCGTTGATTACATGATTGATTAAATTAATTAGTCATCCAATTCAGTGACTTCTACTTACTCAGAAAATCTCACTCTTATAAACTGTAACCTGTTCTGTTTTTTGAGTTGCTACGTGAACATACAAGCTAACAGTGATTTTAATTTTCACTGATTTCTGTCTTACCTCTCCCTCTTCTTTTCTTCTTTGAACGCGTACAAATCGTTGATGGAAACTAAAACCAAATGTGGTAGGCTGGCTAATCTGCCAGCCAGCCAAACATTCAGTCACTCAACAAAGAGTCACGTGCTCCCAACTCAGTCAACTTCCTGACCTGAATCACACCAAGTGAATCTTGAACTCAGACGCGTGATTCGGCTGTCTATTATTTGGATTAGTTCAATTTCGCTGGCTGACTGCAAGCACTACCGGTCCTGTGAGTGGTGTTCAACAGACCACATCTGCTCTCAGTAAAAAATGGAAGCTTAATTGATAAATCAAATTACATATACTCAGTGAAATGTGTACAGTATTCATGTGTGTGAGTGTGTGCATTTGTACAGTTAATGAAGGAGTGGGAGTGACTTCGTCTATTCTACTCTGTAGAACAGACATCCATCTCTGTCAACTTACCTCTTTTGTAATTAAGTCTATTTTCTCCTAACGTAGGTGACAACCATTTGCCTGTTCTCCCTGAGACATAATATTCTGAATCCTTACATGCTTCTCCAATAGCATTCAATGAAGCAGACGTTGTATTCACACTGAGTATAATAGAAGTCTTTGAACGCCAACTGATATATAATTGCAGCTCTAAGTCTTTGATATCAGAAGGGCTAAATGGAATCCAAGAAAAGCTTAAATATTTGTCGCTTTCTTGAAGGAGCCAAAATTCTCTTTCATCTGTATTTGGTAGATTGAAATAGACAAAACAACAATGAAAATATTCATGATAAGTGTGTAAGTGAACATTTGAAGTGAAGTTGATGATGTGATGAGAAAAGTAAATATTGTCGGTTAAATGATGTGTTGATATCAATCATTCAGAGAACCGTTGGGAAGCAAAAGGATGCAGTGTACGCCAGCTGTTTCGTCCCCGATGTTTGAGACACTTCGGAATATTATATATCAGCCATCAGGTTTCAAATCAAAAAACTTTACTGGTACAAGGCTAGTGAGCTCGAAGACTGTTCCGCCATTGAGAAGTCAGCTTTGTGATCGGCAGCACGCACCCATCACCGGGGTGTGAATCTAAGTAATCTCCACCCACAGGATGAGCGCCTACACCAAGTCAAATATGTGATCAGTTACTCGCTGATGACACTGACTGGCGGTGCAGGTATGTGTATCGCACATTGGTAGAAGTTAGAGATCATGAGCTCAAGACGATGGATAGAATCCCAGTGGATGAACGGTCTACGAGATCGCTAGCCTGGTAGGCAGAATCCTAGTGGTTGCTGCTTATTTCTGAAGACCTGCAAACAACAAGAATGAAACAGCTGACCGTTCAATACTCCTTGATGAATTCCAGTGTGTTATCTATCTGATGGCATCAAATTCTTGCCATTCAACACTTTATAAACAAACATCAAGTGGAGAATTCCTCTAAATCTACATAGGTGTATAACTTGGTCACTGTCGTATTATGTGATTCCATATTAATTTGTTATCAGATATATGACACATACAGTAAGACAGTATTATTTACTGGAAGACAGAGTTTACAACACAACACGCGAATAATCATGATCACATCAATTAGGACTACACAAATTCCAAACTTTAGTTGTATTCGTCACTCTGATTCTTCGGAAATCGTATGTATCGGGCTCTCAACAAGGCAGGAATAAAAGTGTCATTCGAGCCCCTCCACATCTCACACCCAAAAACTCACTTAGAAACAAATTATGTCGTCCACAGTCCTAAGAGACGATACGGCTCTATAAACCAAGTAGTTTTGTTTAAATAATTACCTGTCATGATTTCCACGTCAAATACATAGATCTCATTAGTGGAAAGGCGTCAGTCAGACTAGCGGAGTATGAAAGCCTGTAAACATCTGGATTACTTGACCCTGATACTACATAAACCTCGGGAATAACTCAGCCCATCAAGAGAGAAAATACAGGAAATCTGGAAACACTAATATGCACAATATCAACACACACACATAATGATCAAACACGCAACTACTATACCAAATAACAAATCAATCAAAAAAGAAACTGTATGTAAACATGGTTTATAAGAGTTCAAACACACTGTGACACTCCGGTGCTGAAGAGAACAGAAGAGTAATACCTGTCATCTGTCTTCAAGAAGAATGACTACTCATGCAATTTCATCGAGAGATATTACGACTCAAATAGAAACACATAACTACAGAATACACACAAAGAATATTTCTGAAACTCTCAGGGCTAAACACTAGAGGAACAGTCGAAAATGATAGGATCATGTATCGAATCAATTTCCTGAATTGTCGACCTCATCATTCGAGTCACAATTGGGAAATCAGTGTCAAATATCGACGTTAGTGTAGGCGATCAACCTTCGTGATTATAGGAAGTTTGATAATCTCCGAGAAGAGTAAAGGCTGAAGGATGTCGGCATAGAATATGATGATTGAAAGTATCTACCACCATTGTGCTTATTTTACAAGTGAATGTAATATCGGATACTTTTAGCCCATCTGGATGATTTTGTTGTAGTTGTGGTCTCTGAGCTGGATGTCTTGTCTTACTGGACAACATCGCCAGCATAAACTTCAATTTGAAGTGAGTTTCGAAATTCTCTACGAGTTTATTAGTCATCTCTCCTGGTTACCTTGGTTGTCATCGATTATTTCCGACTATTTGCTTACCCTCCAGTCCACTTGTATTCGAACTGATTGCTTCCTTGATCAGAAAAGTGATCTTTGTTCCATGTGATCGCCTTCTTTATGCATTCGTAAATTTCGCCTACGTGAATATGCCTGCTGATTGTTGAACCCCTTGAGTATCAGCCCTCCGGAAATTCTCTGGTCTATTCGTGTTTCCCCTTGTCTGAAGATGATCTTCAACCGTATAGTCGCAATCGATCCATCCGTAGATGTCTTATGCAATGACATGTGGCAGTTGATACTGTGTCTATTCACGGCTAATTCATGTTCATGGATGCGAAGACGAAGAGTGACCATCCACTTTGGTCAATGCATTGTTCACAGAGTCACTTCAATTTATTTTGTAGATGGCGTCAGTTTGTCTCTTCTCACTGTCGAGCCTTCTGCTTAGCATAGAGTAGAAATGACTAGACACCGTCGGACGTGATCAGAATAAGACAATTATTTGGTGGATGATGGTCAGCAGTGGAATCGACATTGCACCTCCATAAATCCCACTGACTGGTTGTAGCACATCAACAACGACATGAATCATTTTATTTCAAGAAAATAATTCAACGAATATGAATGTGTGGAAAAAGCAAATCAATAAATATTCAGATACCATGAAACACTTACTTCATATTTATCTGCTAAATAGGCCAGTTCATATTCTCCAGAAATTCCTTGTGGCGAGACTGTTACTACAATGAATAAGGAAAACAATTAGCACAGGTACAATGTGAATACGGACTTGAGACTCACAATAAAAATGGAATTAGGGTGGCATCTAAAGAAACCTACCTTCCTAACAACTAACCATCCAGCGAACTAACCAACGAACTTAATCGGAGACATACTCTTCCAGATTATAGTCCCCAATGATCCAATTACGCAAAAACAACAAAAATTATCAAATCTCATGTAGTGACGATAACTTAGAGGAGTTACACAGGTCAAACCAGCTGATACGGATCAGTCACATTATGAGAAGATATGAATTCAGGGTTAGGACTAGAATTATTTATCCCACTAAGTGGAGTAATCTAAATTAAATTTGTTCGCCGTGTTCTACAAATACGATATATCAGTGGTATATGCGGAGACGTTCATTGGCATAAAAATATCAAATGACAGCGAGAAACATCCGTCGTCAGGCAAAGAAAATGCGTCAGCGATGCGGAGACACATTGAAGACGTGAATGAGACACAAGGAAATAAAATATGGAGGACAGAATTAGCACAACACGGAAGATCTGTGCACATGGTGATTTGAAGATAAGGTGTACACAATTCCCATGTACAGTGATACCAAATACCGAAAAAATATTCATTTACGAATCTCCTATCACTTACTTCTAGAATTGGTTTCGCTGCCAGGACCATAGACAACACATGGATATTGGTGGCCTAGCAAAGGTGGTCACGCACTAGATGATCACAATGTAGGCTGCAATTGAGACAAGGAATTTCGCAGAACTAACAATGTATCCTTCGAATGTGACACACCACGACATTAGAGGCGCTACTCTTAAGAGAGAAGAAGAAAGCGAGCTTTCAAAAGGATAATTCGTGTCGATTCTCTCGTATCAGCCTAGATTTAGTGGGCACTATGTAGACGGGAGACATACGTTCCAACTTGTGAGTGAATGATCAAGAAATGGAATGTTTAATATATACAAAAGCGGCACTCTCACTAATACATAGCAGTCTATGTCAAACTGTGTTCATTGACAATTCAAAAACCAGGTGGGCACGTGTTTGACAGCACAGGAATGTCAAACTATGGCGTTTTTATTGGCGATAGTGAAGTAACCTTCTTCTTCATTGTTGTGCACGAGTGATCGTGAACAATACTCTGTACCGAATCTCTGCGAGAGATTAGTGCGACAGCTACCACGAATGAGGAGGCAGTGATTACGAAGTACGGACCTATCAGGATGTATGAGATGAGAGGGATAGCAGGGGTGAAAGCGTCGAAAGCACAGAATACGACAGTGTTAGTAAAAGCATACGATCATCTGTTCACTGGGGACGATAATCTCACGGTTGTTGTGATGAGGTGGGGCGTGTAATCCTACTGAGTTTTGGGAAAATGGCGCCATTCACACGGCGAAGAGTCTCATTTCATTTGGAAGGTGGAGTCGAGTGACAAGTAAGGATATGTTACAGGATGATATCATTGAAGAAACAGACAGTTCGTATCACTCTCCAGGTCTTTCAGTGAAGAAAAAAATGGGAAGTGCAGATTTTGTGTCGACTTCCAACAAATAAACGGCATATTAGAGCTGAGAGAGTGTGCCGCGACAACTCAAGTAGAGACCTTGGATCGTCTTCAAAGTGCGAAGTTGCTTACATTAGTTGACTTCCGGTCAGATTATTGTCACATACCGACAAACCAGAAACACAGAGGTAAGACGGCGCCCGTAGTGGTTCAAAACCATCACTGGCTCAATCGCATGCTATCTGAACTAACAAGTTCACCGTTTTCCTTCACACGATGCATGACGGACATCGTCACTTAGTTACTTCAAGAATTTTGGGCTGTAGGGTGATGACCTCGTCATCCACATCAAAACAAAAGCGACAATATGAAACATGTCGACCCCATGGTAAAAGACTTTGAAGAGTTTGAACAGAGCGCCCAAAAGATAAAATCCCAGATAGCCAAACGCAGAGTTACGCTGTTGGGTCATAGCGTAAAAACTGGTGACATAAAACCACTACCGGAGAAAATCTTGTCGATAAAAACTATTACGGCCCTGAAATTCAAGAGGAAGCTGAGGCATTTCCT